ATTACGGCAAGAATTCAAGGGCAGCAAAACAAAAATGAACTGAAATGACTGGTATCAACAATGCACACATGATCTTTTTCATTGTTGGAATTAACAAGTCACTGAAGTTGTAGGAATATGAATTTGCTTTGGATAGCTCTTCTGGAGCTGAAATTCTCAACTTGTGCTTCTACATCAACACACCTGCAGAACGCAAATTTCCTCGAACACTGTGGCTATTGATTCTCATCAGAGAAAAACATATCTTGATTTCTTAACAGTCTTATATAATTTGAGTAAGGCAAATTAATTTAAATGCTGACTTGTATTAGGCTGAGTGTATGTGTTCTCCATCTACTCTCTAAAACTGAGACCATGCCTGTTTATCTTTTGCACCTCTGAGAGCTGAAGGGCCTTCTGCAGGGCACAGTGTTTAGAAAACATTCCTCGGGTCGGCCTGGGTGTACCAAAATGGCTGCCGTCCTCAGTGCTGAGAGTCCATGTGCATCTTGGAAGATGCAGGCTTCCCCGCACTCTACCACAGCACAGAAGACAACAGGAAACTCAGTCAAGTAAACCAGAACTGGATGCTACCAGATCAACAAAGAGTAGGTTTCAAAGAAGTGAGTTAAGAGTCAATTCATTAGTTGCAGTGCTGGAAACCTTTATTAATACCCATCTGAATCTAAAAAAGGGACAATGAAAGGGGGAGAACAGACTTCAGAGCCCAGTGGTGAATGACAATGAATAATTACTCTGCTGCTTTGTTCAACCCAACCCAGTTTATTCACCATCTACTAAGTATCTTACTCTTGGCCCAGTGTTGTGCTAATATTGGAGATAAAAATAAGAAAGAGACAATGACCCTGAGCTGTAAGTAGCTCTTTTCCTGATTGGCATTCAAAGACTTCACCTTTTATTTTTATAAAAACCCCGAAGAACATATTCACCATTATCTGCTTGTGTACGTACAAAATCCTCTAGCAGGACACATAAGCAACCAGTATCCTTCTTTCCAAGGAGGAAAACTGTGAGACTGGGAAATTAAAGCAGAAGACAGCTTTATCACTACTTAGTTATACTGCTTGAATTTACCCTTATGTGCTATCTATTCAAAAGACAAGGTTAAGGTTATAATAGAAAAATAAACTTTTCCTGCTTCAAAAATTGTCTGAATACGGACATAGCCAATAGAGAACAGCGGTACTGCAGAGAGTTCCCTAGCATCTTAGTACATGCACTCACACAGCAGCTGAAGAAGGGAAAAGGGAACTCACTTCCTTTTTAGTGTTTGTGAAACTAACTTTAAGATTAAACATACATTATTTTACTTTTCAAAGCTATTTATAAAATGTTATGTTCCTTTTATAAGTCAGGAAGTTGAAGTTTAAGAAAGTTAAGTGACGTGTTCTAAGTCACAGAGCAAATAAATGGTGGAGACAGGATCAGAAATTGGGTTTTATGACCCCCAAGCCATGCTGCTTTCTGCTTACCTTCCATGCCGATAAGCAGCAGGTTGGAGGTCAGCTGCCCCCAGCCACGTTTTCCCTGTTGCTTATTAATCCAGTTCCAGTTAAAACCCAAGAAGTCCATGACAATCTTCCTGCCCACAGTGTCATTGAGTGTTTGCTGTAGATATAACCTATGCTCCCCAAGAAGAAAATCTCATTAGTGCATGTATACATAGTCCCTTGGCATGGTCTCCCCACACCTGGAAATCCAAACCCAGCCCATACTAGCATCTTCCTCAGAAGAGATGCAGCCAGGCAAATCTTAACCAAGACAGATTCTCACAGAACTGAATCATTACCCATCCTCCTTTGAACTTTGTTCAACACCAACCTTTTTAAATAAGTGATTATTAACCTCTTCTGGGTCACAGTATGAATCCTTTAAGAATCCAAGGAAGATGCTGCACAAAAACTCACACACACACATACACGTCTCATGCAATTTCATGTTTCTCAAAACCTTCCCACAGATTACAATGAAAATCAACCTTGTTCCAGAGACTCAGAGACCAAAACACCCCTCATGGCCCTTAATGACCACTGTAGCATACAGTGTTACTGTCCACCAAGCTAGTTCCCTTCTTATGGGAGTTATTCTTTTGTACCACCTTGAAGCCAAGTTTGCTTCTTTAACTTGCTTCGCCAATGGAATGTACCAAAAGTGACTCATTATGCTTCCAAACTCTAATAGGAAGACAGGAGACACTACACATTTCCTTCTCTCCACCACAGCAACTGCCGTTTCAGGTAGTAGCCTCTAGGGCAATCTGGATCCCAAAGTGAAGATGATGTGAGAGCACCGCTCTCAGGCAGCATGTATCACGAGTGAGAACTAAAGCATTGTTGCCTTAAGTTGCTGAGCTGCGGCTTACGGAGTAGGAAAACCCAGACATACTTGATTATGCCTCCTAAGAAACATTAATAAGAGGGCAAACTTGAAGACACAGGAACAGCCCTAAGAACATTACTTCCAAAGGTTCAAAAGTACTTAGTGCCAACAATCATGATGTTTATGAAAACATTAACTAGAAATATTAAGATAGGCACATTAGCTACCTTTTTGGAGATATGAAACCTCAACGTTGATGCAACGTCTGAACTCTCCCCAGAGACTATGTTATATATATTCACATAACAATTTCGCAAGTAAAATAGAAAGTCAGGAACATTCCACAAACATGAACCTAAACAATTCCTGTTGAGCCTTATGCTCAAAATAGCTCAAAGAAGATCCTAACCACGTAATAATAAAAAAATTTCCTTGATTCACCCAGGAAGTACACACTATGCTCGCAGCTCACTTAAGCAAACGCTCTTGCCATGGGAGGTAAGGAAGCTAAAGTGACTGAGGAACCAGCAGTCATGTGTCTTGTCTGAGGTTCATTCCAGTGCTTATGTAGCCAATATAATTACACTCCACCAGTACCATTTAATCTCTCTCTCATAGAGAGAGGGGGGTAACTGGGTGCATGTTTTGTATATGTGAGCAAACTGATGCATGAGATGACATAAATGATTCAGGATTTAAGACATAAAAACCAGATCACTCATAATTGAGATAGTTCTTTTGATCAAAGTCCTACAATTATAACTGCTAAGTGTCAGGAAAAAAAAGATATTTTATATCATTCCATTCATCCACAAACATCTAGCAAAGAGTCAGGAAGAAAATTGAGATAGATGACTACCGAGAAGCCCAGGACTGGACACCAAATATGAGATGGAGATGTTCATTCACCATGAAGTGATCAGTGAAAGCAAGTCAGTGCAATCGTAGGGGACTCAATTCTCAATTACCTAAGAGGCTGTCTTTAGAGACAGGGATAAAAGCAGAGAGGAAGTCTCACTTCTGTGTGTGTCCTGTGCCTGCCATCTTCAGTACAATATGGGAAAGCAATATTCTCCCGCCCCATCTAATCTGATCTTCCCTAAGAGGACCCTGATATCCTTCACCCCAGAATCACAAGTGTTATAATTTTCCAGTTCGAACTGTCCTAGCCTGACTAATATGTTAGGACAAAAGCTGCAAACTGGCAAATCTCAGGGCTAAATCCAACAACCACTTTGTTTGGCCCCTTCCAACATTTTACAAAAATTTGTAATTAGTTACCCACATTTAGAAGTGAAAAAGATTTTAAGTTAAAGTTCTCATTTTTGACTCCTCTTGGAAAGAGAATATCTGGCTACCCCAAGACTGCACTCCCAAGGAGAAATGAGTCAGGTAATGACTTTTATTCTGAAAACGCATATGCCTTTAGCTTCATCACAGTTCTCAACCAAACAAATCCATTCATTTTGTTCACCTACCTGAGCCTGCTAGGCAAACATGCCTCTCACTTTTGGGAGAACCAGAGAATGGCAGTTCAAATCTAGTCATTCCCAAATTCCTTGAAGAAGACAATTCACACAACTCCTCTCTATCTTCAGGCAGGAAAGGAAATAAAAATGGATGTCCTAGATCCGACAGAAAATGAGAGTATGGGAACTTACCTCTCTTCCCCTCCTCGCTGCTGAATATCCTGTAGTTTCTCCACAAACTCATGAAATTTCATTTCTTCCCTGTTGGACCTTGGCTTAAAGTTTTGGAAATTAGCCATCTTCTTCTCATCATAGTACAAGAACTTGTGGGTGCTAGCACTGTACACAGAGAAGTCTCCATTACCAATATTCTCTTGCAGGTAATCAAGGTCCCACTTCAGGGCAGGATACACAAGATTTGTGTCGGTCAGCACCACAGGCTCCTGAACGAAAACACCAGTTGAAAAAAAACAAATGAGGTCGTGCCAAGGGGCAGGCGGGTTTTTGTGCCGTGACTCCAACTACTTCCCAACTTGAGAGTCATTTCTGTTTGCCAGCAGAAACTCCTCAAGTCCCCTTTCTCCACGCCTCCCTCTCCATCTCCCCCGAGCACCAGTCCCACCAGTCAGTCCCCCACCTCTCTCACCCTTCGCCTTTGACCTCTGCTCTCAACCAGGTCCGGCTCGTCCCCTCCCCCTCCCGTTCGGACGCGGCCCCGCCCCCTACCTCGTTCTCGATGAGCTCCTCTGCGCGGGGGTCGCTCTGACTGAGACGCGGGATGGGGCGCGTTGGGAAGCCGTAGCTGCGCAGCTGGGACTCCTCCCAGGCGGGGCCGGGGGCCTCCGCCTCTCCCCGGGGCTCTCGAGAGCCCGAGGCCGCAGCCTCGGCCGCCGTCGCCGCCATCTCTGCCTCCAGGGACGGCCCCACCGGAACCGGAAGCCCCGCCCATCCCGGAGCACACCCACAACGGAAACCATAGAGACGGGGTTCGAGAGGGAGGGGCGCGGGGACACTGAGAAGGCGGAGCGGAGGCCTGGGCAGCGCCTCCTAACGGTGACCCGCAGCTGTGCACCCTATGTCGGGCCCCGAGGACCTGAGCGAGGCTAAAGGTAAACGTCCAGAGCCGACAAGTCTGCAGGGAAAGTTGGTTAGTGGTTGGTCACCAGCGGGTGAGGCCAGCGAGGAGCGATGATAGTGGGTATGGGGTGATGAAAATAGTTTACAATTAGTGGTGGTAGTTACACAACTTTGTAAATACACTAAAAATCGCTGTTGTATACGTTATAGGGGTGGATTTTATAATAGGTGAGTTATAGCTTAATAATTAATTAAACCAGCCCTGTTTCTTGACCCAAATTAGATCAGGCTTTGCTATTGATTGGATGTAGATATTATGCAATTATCCCGAACATGGCTAGTGATGCTTATTGTAAGAGGGCACGTTGCGGGGAAGTAGTCCTCCAAAATTTATATACCAAATGGTATATATCTATTTTTATTGCTTTGCGATACATATACATACATAGATATATATATATTTGAGGATGTTTATGGTAATGGGTCCTGCTCCACCAACAATGATCACCCTAAAAGTTGCAGGAAGTATGTGCATATTTATTCTGCATATGTCATTTATGTAAATAAATTGAGACATTCATATGCAAACACACTAATGTCCTTCATTCTCCTGTTAAGTTAGTGTTTGTTAACTGTGGTCCAGCTTGAAGTGTATGTATCCAAGTCCTAGCAAATCCTAGGCTTTAGGCGGTTTGCTGAGACCTGCCTCCGGTGCTCGGATTGATTTTACATCTGTTGAGGTGACTGGGGCATTCGAATGTAAACACGGGACGAAACTGAGGTGCCTTTGAGGACTTGGGTTAGCGCCGCACATCTAAGACACCTGAGACCAGTTTGGAGACTATAACTAGACCCGTCACGGCCAACAGCTGGATTTGGACAATGGTCCCGTTTGGACATGGACCATAAGTGGAAAAGGCAAGCAATCAGAGACGAGATTAAGACAAATCGTTTTACTTCTCTCGCTCCCGGGAGAGGTAAGTCAGCTGTCCACCAGAGACGCTCCGAGTCCGAGTCCCGTTGTGTCTGGGGGCGTCTAGATCCCTCTAGGAGAAAAGGACCACAGCAATCCGAAATATCAAAGCAGTGGCCTGTCTGGCTTTCTCTCCTGCCAGCTCTTCCTCCTTGCCTCTACACGTCCGCTCTCTTCCCTCCCGTTCCCCAACTCAGTTTAAGTCCGGCCCTTGGCTGAACCCCAGGACCTCTCTTCGCGGCCGGCTCCCCTCCCCCCCCCCGCGGCGTTTGGCCCGGCTCGGCCGCCGTGGCCGGGTCTGTGCGCATGTGCGGGGCGAACGGGGGAAGGTGAAGATGGCGGCGGCCAGGGCGGGGGTCTTGGGAGTCCGATGGCTGCAAAGGGCGGTCCAGAACGTGGCGCCGCTGGGAGCACGGACAGGTCCGTGAGAACAGGCGAGGCCCGGGTGTGGAAAGGGGGCGCCGGAGGCTTGGTGTGTCAGGGCGGGGGCCGCGGGGTCGTGGGTCCCGCGGCGGCTGTGTCCGGGCGCGGGCGGATGTGGAGAGCGTCGCGGGGCGCGCAAGCTCGGGCTCCGGCGTCCCCACCACCGCAGCGTGAAGGCTTGCGGGCAGCCAGAGGAACGGGTCGTTTCTGACCTTTTCTCTTCTACGCTGCAGCCTCCCACATTACCAAGGACATGCTCCCAGGGCCCTACCCCAGGACCCCCGAAGAACGGGCCGCCGCCGCCAAGAAGTATAATATGCGAGTGGAAGACTACGAGCCCTACCCGGACGACGGCATGGGGTGAGATGGAGAGGGGCCGCTTGTTCTCGGGTGCTGATGGGAGGAGGTCGGCTGGGTTGGCTGGCTCGACCCTGACTGTTTTCCGAGGACCTTCCCTTGACCCTTCAGAGTCAGCGGTGTGGGTGCTTTTCTCGGGGAAGAGAATTGGGAGGGGGTGGGTGAGCAGCTGCAACCGAGAGGACTTCAATTTTCTCCTTGGCTCAGGCAGTCTCCTCAAATGAGAAAGCCGAGGTTTTAATAGCTCCCCGGAGGACCCCTGAATAGCAGGAACCTTCCCTGGCTTCATCCAGAGCCCAAGGTTTCATTTAGATTGAGCATCTGCTGGGCTCAGGTGCTGTCATCAAGGCACGTGACCAGGCTGGAGCTGGACTCCTGACATGAGAACCTTATTTATAGATGAAGTGCCCAACATTTGTGTTTATTTATTTAAAAAAAAAAATGCCTTTGCTCATAGGGCTGTGGAAATGGTAGCAACTGTGAAACAGATTAAATGACCAGCTCCCTTATTCCAGTTGATGTTATATTCCCCTCCCACCTCCCACATAAAATCCCTATGTTTAATTATCTGAAGCGATTACCCTCACTCTCATTTCCCATCCTAGCATCACTCTTGTAGTCATGGTTTCAGCGGCTCCTAATATTTCTTGTTTTCCACTCATTCTCTATGACATACGTCTAGTTGTCATCATTTTCTGTCTTTTATTTTGTTGTGCACAAGAGCAGCCTTGGATTGGGGTGTGTTGGGCAAAAAACCCCAGCTTAGCAAGAAGTCCCAGGAGGTGCTTGAGACATGGAGATGGTGGAGGAACACAGTTGCTATGAAAAGAATACTTTTCTAACTTCCCCCCCTTTTTTTAATTCTAATTAGCTAGGTGACCTTGGGTTCAGACTAAACACCAGTTTCATTTTCTGTCTAATGAGGGAATCAGAGTGATTAATTGCTAAATTCTCATTCAGCTTGAACATTATAACATTGTGTGATTTTTTTTCTTTTTGTTGAAAGAAGTTAAGATAATTGTGTGCATATTATAATGTTTCAGAATTTGACCTGGACTTTTATTACTAAATCCTGAAATTTGGATTTCTGTGGTTAGCTCTGTGTTTAGTGACCAGAAATTAAGATTTTGTCTGAAAGTCAATTCCTCTGTCCTTAAGGGAGGCAGTTAGTTACCTGTCACTTGCTTTCTCGTCTGAGATGTGGACATTCTGAATTGTCTAAGTGAGGATTCTCAGAGCCCCTTATAGCAGTTCTTGCTGTCTCTCAGGTATGGCGACTACCCGAAGCTCCCTGATCGCTCACAGCAGGAGAGGGATCCGTGGTATGACTGGGACCATCCAGAATTGAGGTTGAACTGGGGTGAGCCGGTAAGAGAACCATATCCCATTTGACCTCCCTGTAATGTCTTCCTGAGGATTCTATCTTGCTTAAATGGTACTTCTTCAAGTAACACAGTTTTCTGCCCAAGGAAGCAAGATCCAGTGTTCTGAGATCTGGGGTTCCACATGTTACACATGAAATGGAACTTCTGGGGAAACTTAAAACTCTGTATTGTGAAAGTTGTGGACTTTCATGCTGTATGAGCAGTCTGATCAGCAGAATATACACATAAGCCAGGTTCTAGTCCTATGGGTGAGAGTATCTCAGATTGACCTCTCAGAACATTGCCTAGGCCAGTAGAATGCCTTTGTCAAGCTTTGTATCAAATTCTGGTACAAAACCTGGACTGCCTGACTTTTACAGGAAGAACAATTGGTGACAATTATCTGCCTTTCTGCCTCAGATGCACTGGGACCTAGACATGTATATCAGGAACCGTGTGGACACATCCCCCACGCCTCTTTCTTGGAATGTCATGTGTAAACACCTTTTTGGCTTCGTGGCCTTCATGCTGTTAATGTTTTGGTTGGGTGACACTTACCCCTCCTACCAGCCTGTGGTGAGTATCTGAGAAATGCTCCCTTAAGCACATTTACTTAACCCAGTTTCCTGAAGGAGTGAAGTCTCTGGAGTAGGGGGTCCATCCAGCCGGTACCAAGCTTGGCTTCCCTGGTAAGGCCTGTAGAGGACCTTACTTCTCGGCTTGACACAAGTACCAGAGTACTGGTCCATGCCTTACATCTTGGATTAGTCTGAGTGAGAAGCAGCAATTTAGGACTAACTGAAGAATGAGAATATGGAAGCCAGCTAGTCTCTAGAATTACCACTGGGGATTGTGCAGTTATTATGTTTATATATGTGTACTGAATATATTTGTTAAGGGGTGTGAAGTGCTGTTAAGGAAAAGGGCTATGATAGATTGTGTGTGTGTGTGTGTGTGTTTGAATGGTGGGGAGAAATTGGAGAAAACATCAGAACATTTAGGACAAGAAAAACAATGCAGTAGAGAGTGAGTGAGCTGGGGTAGAACAGACTAAAATAGTTCCTAGATAACCACCAGCAGTGGTTAACCTGGAGAGCTGCTAAAAAGTCAGATTCCTGGACTCCACTTCCTAGATTGTTTTAATTCAGTTGCCCCATGATGGGTTCTAAAGTCGGTATTTTTAAGCAAGTGCCCAGGTAGTTCTGGAAATCAGGTATGGAAAATGATATGTTAAAAAATACTGTGAGGTGAGGTGATCATTTATTTGAGCAGCTTTTATTGCATGCCTAAGAAATTTGATGACAGAGTAGACTATACTTGATGGTATAGTAATACATTAATTCAACAAATATTTATGAAGCCCCTACTATGTAGCATATGCAGATGGTGCCAGGGGTTGGGATACAATGATGACTTGGCAGTGGGGAGCTATAGTGTGCTTTTGAATAGAAGACTCATAACGAAGGCTAGATTTTTAGGAAGATTTACAGGGAATAGTCTATAGGATAGACCGTAAGGAAAAGAACTGAAAGCAGGGTAGCTGCCGTGTTTGCAATTGCCTGCCCAGTGCTACTTCTGCAGAGATAATCAATGTCCTGATGATAGCTGATATGTCTATGTGCACTGACACGAGCCTTCTACCAAGCCCTAGGGGCTCCGGGCTGGAGAATGCACGTAGGGCTGGTGTGAGCACTAACTTCACTTCAGGAGAGCAAGAAACACAGTGTGGCTCTTCCATTTTTCAGTTCTGTAAGCACATCACCCTTTTCTCCTCCCCTTGAGCTGTGTTCTCTGACAGCTGTTTGTTGGTAAAGCCAGCAGCCCCTAAAGCACGTCCCAGCCGTGTCTCCTCTGTGCTCTCCCCCACCGCTGCTCCTGCACGCCTCATTTGCTAGGCCACTTTAGTGGTGGAACCATTAGAGGCTGAGTGACTTAAAGGAGATTGAGTCTGTCTCGACCCCGAGAGAGAGTGGGATGGATGGATGCATCGTCTCATTTACAAAGCCTGTGTGCACGCTCACGCTCTCACGCGTGTTCCCTCCCCCACCCCCTCCACACACACTGTAGATACCAGTTCTCTTACAATCTAGGCTTTCTCTCTGCCTTGGGCTGAGTGTGGAAGAGGAGTGCTGTTCCTGACATTCTGTCCCAGCTGGGTCTGGCCAGAGGCTACCATGTGCCCATTTACTATAAGTGATTATTAACTCAGAGTGGGGGATAGCCAGATATTGGTTGGACGTTGTTGTTCTTGCTGACCTGTGTTTTTTCCTAGGGGCCAAAGCAGTATCCTTACAATAATCTCTACCTGGAACGAGGCGGCGATCCCACCAAAGAACCTGAGCCGGTGGTTCACTATGAGATTTGAGGAGACTTCGTGGGCTTTATGCCCCCTGACTAACTCCCTCATTCCCAGAGATTTAACCTTAATGGAATCCCTAATAAAACTTAGTGCTATGGTATCTGTGCCTCATTTCCCCAGGAATAGCCGCTGCTGTGAGGAATCTCATCCTTTCTCTGTTTCTGCCTACTGTCTGACCGTCCCTCGTCCCCTCCGCCACACTGGAAGGATGGGAGGATGAAGGGAGTTAAGCACAAGAATATGCTTATTTGTTCATTTTGCTAGGCCTGCGAAGGTAGTTGAGGACTCCAGTAGTGCAGTAGGTGGTAAGGGGAGCTCCTTTTTTTCACTTACAGAATTGAGGAAAAAGGAAGATAGGTTCCTGAATTTCCAAGTTGGAGCAAGATTTACTTCCCTTAGAAAAACCTTTTTATAGTGATTGGTTAAAAAAAAAATAACGTGTTTCAAGTATACTTTCAGGTGTTTTTGGATTGACCTAGGGCTGTGACTACCTCTAATGTTATTTCAAAGAACATGTATTCCTTATTCCAAAGCAATTTCTGAAGCCTACCTTCTTATAAGTTGATAGAAACTATAATTATGAATTAGAGGACAGTTCAGTGAGTTACTCTGAACTCATAAGGCCTACAAATAGTCTTAGAAGAAAATTATGTGTTTGAGGGGCCACTCTCAGTGCTGCTTTTTTTTGTTTTCATTTATTTATACAAGCACTGGGTACAGTCAGAAGCGCGGGAGGGTGAGTGAATTCACCAGAGCCAGAGCGGGGAACAGAGCAGGCAGGCTGACGAAATACACTGCTGAGGGGAGCAGTAGGCGGGGCAGGAGAGGTCTGTTGCACCATGTGGGACCCTCTCCGGAGGCCGGGGATCGAACCAGCGCTGCAGAGGCTGCGGGCAGCTTCACAGCCCAGCGCTCAACCGCTGTGCCACCAGGGGAGGCCCAGTGCATCCGTTTTTAAGTGAATCAACATACCTTCATACCCTCCCTTTGAGAACATTCTCATAATGTTGCCTAAATTTTTTTCCATTAAAAAAAGCACACATTCAACATGATCACTGAAGCAAGGCCATTCAAATTAGATACAGGGTCCTTTTGTGGTCCAGCAGTGAAAGAACAGGGAATGGGGTACTTAGGAAATGTCACTCTTCAAAGGTCTCCAATGACTTCTCTGTCTCAATTCTTCGTCCTCTAGAGCATTTGGTAATCATTTATTAAACATTTGTGTATCTACTATCACTGTCCCTGGCAATATAAAGTCAAACAAGACAAAATAATTGCCTCCAAGTAGTTACGTGGAAGGGGAGACTGCCAGTTGTAAAACAAAATGAAAAGAAATTCTAAAAGGTGTGAGTTGAAAGTATACTTTTAAAAGTCAGTTCTGTTTGAAACAGACTATGTGCCTTTGGTTTAGATTTCTTTGGGAGCACTTCTACCTCATTCCTTATTTTGGGGAGTTGCCTAAGAGCCCATTTTCAACCCTGTTTATTTTTCCTCAGATCTTACCCACTGTTGTGCTAACATGTTTAAGAAATACTGAGTATTTAATACACAGAGTGGGCAGGCACAGACAATACCCTAAGCTGTGTTCTGTCCTGAGTTCAAAACTCCCAAGTCCACACAAAAAGCAAATGTAGTTGTGTCACAATGATTTGGGGAAACCTATTATAAGAAGACCTGCCCAGCATCTTTGGAGGTATATCAGGCAAGAATACAGAATTCATGCCTTAAATGAAAGGTTTGAATCTGATAGCTTAGGTCTAATATCTGTAGCTACCTACAAATGTTTTTTACTTGGAAGTAAAACCACAGTAAAGGGTTTTTTTTCACCTCCCCTTCCCTTCCTCTCCCAGTTCTTATTCTGAATAGCACAACTGCATTTCTAGTTCCCAGGCTCTGAAGCCATGGTCTTTAACTCCTTTATCAGTCACAAGAGCCTGTCCTCTCCTTTATGATCATTGCCCCTGTATTAACCCAAACTTTCATCAGCTGGTACCTAGATTCTATTAGTCTCCTAATTTGAATCCCTGCCTCCAATCTCTTTCCAAGGGGACCCATAGTACTAGTCTCAAAATACCATCTATATCTTATTACATCCCTGTCCATAATTTTCAGCAGCTCCCAATTAACTGCAGCGTTGAATTAGTATTCCACAGTGTATGCAGCCCACTCCCCATGAAATAGCCTTTCATTCACGGCGTGGGAAATGTTACCAAGCCTGTTAGCCAGTTCTGCCCCTTCCTCCTTGCTGGAACACCACCTATCATTTTGCAGCTCCAAGGAATCACATCCGTCTAGCGCAACCTTCGAGGAAGCCCCTGGTCTACAGTAAGATGCCCTCCGCACACCTAGAGCCCTTAATTAGTCCAACAGTTTCCGGGCACCAGCTGTTGCTGGGCTGCAGTGCCGTCACTCGCCGCTATTTACAGCCTTGATTGCTCCACACCATTTCAACCAAGTGGATTCCACTGAGAGCTCCTGGAGCTAGGCCCGGGTCTTTGCTTCAATAAATAGATAATGAATTAGTATTTTCGCTTTTCCGAGGCTGCTTACGGAGCTGGCTCAAGTTGAATAGACCAGGACTTACAGGTAGCAGGCTCCGGCCACGGCAACAGAACTGTGCAATGACAGAGCAGGTGAGGGAGGCCTGATAAAAATCACAGTCCTCCAGGGAACGTGCTCCGTGGGTCGGCGGGGCCGGGCTCCGCGCCTCGAGCCGGGTGTGAGCGCAGGTGCCCTGCCAGCCAGGACAGCTTTTGGCCCTCCGCAGCCGCCGTCCACAACGCCCTGCTGAGCCCCAAAGCGGGTTGCGAGGACCCGCTCGGCTTCCACGCCTGACCCCTGACCTGGGCTCTCTGCGCAGGTTGGTTTTCCCACCTGTTTGGGGCCCCGGAGAGCAGAGACCGTGCTGGGGGCCAGAGCGCCGCTCCTCCCTCCGGAGAGGGTGGGGGTGGTGTGGGGAGGTGCGGCGGGCGGGAGGAAGAGCTCGCCCCCCGGAGACCCCGGCCCGCGCCGGCCTCGCCCCCAGGGCTCCCTCCAGGGTGCCTCTCCGGGTCCCCCACTAAGCACACCCTCCGAGGGAGCGCGGCTCCCCTCTCCCCGCCGCGTCCGGGGCCCCCAGACCGACGAGGGGCTCTCCTGCGCGGCCCTCGAGCCTTGCCATCCTCCTTGGGCGGTGATCGGACCCGAACCCGGGGCGCGCCGGGTCTCTGTGCCCGGCCTGGGCGGGAAGGCCTGTCATTGCTGACCCGGCTCACCGAGCTTCGGGTAAGGCCCGAGAGACTGGGCGACCAAGGCAGCGGGCGACCTTCTTTACTGCAGGGTTCACCCCTTTGTTGGTCATAGCGCGACCTGTCTTCACCCCCACCCTGAGTACCCCCGCCCGCCATCCTCGCCCCAGCCGGGTGCTTTTAGTGAACGTCTGTCTCTGAACGTAGCAGACTAAGAGTTTATCTTCCCAATATCTAGGCTGTCAGGGATTTAAACACTGTTTGGGGGTTAGTTTAATACGATGGCTGAAAGCACGGCTCTGGAGGCCAGAAAACTGGAGTTTTCTTTGCTGTAAAACGGTGCTAGTAATAGTACTTAACGCACAGAACCATTGTGAGAATTAAATGAGATAGGCACGTCAAAAGCGCTGTGCTAATCTAGCTACTTTTTTTGGGTAAACCATCTTTCTCCAGAAACGTGAAAATGCCTTCGACCAGCAGGTGGCACCGGTGACTATAGTGCGGTGTGCAGTGTCAGAAGACACTTCATGTAGCCTCAAGTTTAGAGGCCCCCTGGAAATCTTGGCTAAATTGGTAGCCTTAAACCTTCTTGAAGCTGGAAAGTACAGTCGAGATTGAGTAATGCCACCTCCTGTTTCTGTAGGATGTGACTGACCTAACTGTGGTTTGCTCAGCAGGTCACAGTGGGTCCAAAGTTTCCTTCCTCAAATCAGAGTTACTTTAAAAATAAAAACCTCTGCTGCTTTGCTATCCACTTGAGTATGTTTAAATTGAATTGGAAACTACCAATTAAAAAGAAAATGATGTCTTCATATATCCAACAAATATTATCGAGTACTTGCTATGTGTCAAACATTTTCTGCCGTTGGTTACAACATGACATAGCAAACACCATGCCAACTCTTGTGGATTTTACCTATTAGTGGATGATACCAATGATATAATTGTAAATAAATGTATAATTGTAAATTCCTAAGAACAAGAAAGTTGAGGCTATTTGCGATTGGATGGCTCACCTCTCTGAGGTAAGAAGCTGAACCCAAAAAGATGTGATAAAAAGTCAGTCACCCAGAGAATGAAGTAAGGACATTTAAAGTATAGGAAACAGAATTTATAAAAGCTCAAGGTGTGAAAAAGCCAGGAAATGAAAAAAGCACAATGAATTAGGGGGGAAGTGGTACTAGATGAAGTTTAAGGGATAGGCTGGAAGCTTTGAGCAGGGCCGTCATACAGGGTTTGAATTTTATTCTGAGCATGGTAGAAGTCATTGAAAGCTCTTAAGCATGAAATTCCAAAATCCTGTTTTTTAAAAAAGATTTATTTATGCATCCAAGAACTGGGGTATAGGTTGGAGGGGTGGGGGGTGGGGCGTGGGCAGGGGAGGTTGAGAGGATTCACCAGAGACAGAGTAGGGAGCAGAACAGCCAGGTTGACTGAAATATACTGCTGAGGGGAGCAGCGGGCGAGACAGGAGAGGTCTGCTGCGCCGTGTGGGTTAGCTCCCTGGCTGGGTTTCAAACTCATGCTGTAGTGGCTGCCGATAGCCTCATAGTGCTGAGACTTAACCCCTTGTGCCACCAGGGAGGCCCCCAAAATCCTATTTTTTAAAAGTTCACTGCTCTTGTTATGTAGAGAATGAACTGGGTGAGAGTAATGAGTACTAGGGAGATGGTCGGCTGGAAGATTACTGGTGAAAGGTGATGGTATCTTCTAATATAGTGGTGGTAGTGGAGCTGGAGAAAAATAGTTGAAGATATGTTTTAGAAGGGAAGGAAGGATCAAAGGAGTTTTCAGCTTTCTGGTTTGAGCACTTGGATGGATTGTGGTACTATTTACTGAAATGAAGAAAACAGAAGCAAGAACAGATTTACAGGGAGGACATGGTGGGCTAGAGAATTCCATTTTAGATAGACTAATCTTTTGCTATCTTTGCTATGTGCAAGTGGAATATTTGATTAGGACTTGAATATAAGAAATTGGAGCTGAGGGTCTCCCCGGTGACACAGCAGGTTGAGCTCTGCGCTGTGAAGCTGTCTGCAGCCTCTGCAGCGCGGGTTCAATTCCCTGCTGTCCAGGGAGAAACCCATATGGCGCAGCAAACCTCTCCTGCCCTGCCCGCTGCTCCCCTCAGCAGTGTCTTTGGTCTGTCTGCCTGTCCTACTCCCTGCTCTCTCTGGTGAATTCTCTCACCCTCCCATGCCTCTGGCCTGCACCCCAATTCTTATATAAATAAATAAATCTTTTTAAAAAAAGAAATTGGAGCTGAGAGGAGAGATTTGTGTTGGTGATAAGAATTTGGGAGCCATCAGCATATGGATGATATTTGAGGCAATGAGAGACATAATCACTGAGAGATTATGTGGTTCGATGATTATAATCACCATTGGGCCTATAACAGCCAGTGCAGTTGAATATCTTCTGGGCTTTAAAGTATTAGGTTTCAGGGCCTCCCCTGTGGCGCAGCGGTTGAGCGCTGGGTTGCGAAGCTGCCCGCAGCCTCTGCAGCGCCGGTTCGATACCCGGCTGCTCCCCGGCCACCAGAGGAGGGTCCCACATGGCACGCAGACCTCTCCTGCCGCCCGCTGCTCCCCTCAGCAGTGTACTTCGGTCCTTCTGCCTGCTCTGCTCCCTGCTCTGGCTCTGGTGAATTCTCTCACCCTCCCGCGCTTCTGACTGTACCCAGTGCATGTATAAACAAAAACAAACAAACAAACAAATAAATAAAAAACATGCCTCTATAAAAAAAAATAATAAAGTATTAGGTTTCAGCAATTGAGTAAATAAACTGCCCTTACAGAGCTGCAGATGTCAGTAATTGTCACTCTGTCTTGCCCTGAAATGCCCCACCCCATGATGGAAAGAGAGAAACAAGATCTTCTGAAACACAAGTGTCCCTAGCTCTGGCTTTAAGCTTGCTGGTTTCTATTTTCAGTGGACTGAAGGCCATGTCAGTTTTCTGCCACCTACAGGACAGACAATGAAGCTGAAAGAACTCCAGCGGCCTGCAGTCCCTGCGTGGAGCCCCGCTAGCCAGCACCCTGTGTGTCTGGCCACAGGTATGGCGATATTGCAGACAAGGATCCACTCTAAGGTTGTGGGGAAACTTAGAATCCAGAATTCTTTATTGAGCATCAGAGAAAGCTTTAGAGTCATGGGAAGGTGGGGTCAGCTTACAGCACAAAAAAAGGGATAGTAAATGTTTTTACTGGGGGCAGCCTTGCGTGAACTCTAACTCAGTGGCAGATACCTCACGCTTTCTTTGCAGTTATCACTTGAGAAGGGTCTACCTAACCCCTTTCCTGTTCTCTCCTCTCCCTAACCAGTTATACCCACAATCCGTGCATATGTTTTTGCTCATGTACTGCCTCTTCCTGACTGTTCTTATGCCTAGGAACATCTGCTCAGCAGCTAGATGCCTCCTTTAGTACAAATGGCACACTGGAAATCTTTGAGGTTGATTTCAGGGACCCCTCTTTGGACTTGAAACGCAAGGGAGTCCTTTCCGCCTCAAGCAGGTACTATGTCTGAACTACTGGTGGGGGTGCAGAACAGATCCTGATCCTAACAGGGAATAGTGTGTGTTCCTCAGGGCTCATGTGGAGATCAGTGAGGAGAGAAGAAACTTCAAGTCAAAGAAAGGTTAACTCTGGGTTTTTTGTTTTTTTTTTTTTGTGATGGTACCAGCAGTGTCAGGCAGAATCATGTGTAGAGACTCCTCATTGAAGCCTGGACCCAGAGTGTACCTCATCTCTCTCTGAACCTGGGGACTGCCTCCTTCCTCCCTTGGCTCTTGTGAAGAAAACGTTGTTATGCAATATCTCTCTTTTATGCCTACACCAAGCAGAATAAATGATCTTCTCTCCATTGCCCTGGGGCACTGATAGGGCACTCACAGATTCTTTGGCCCTGACAGCCTTCAAGGACGGGTACTGGCACACACTGAGCATACATGCATGCAGGCACTGTGTTGGGGGCTCAGTCTATCCTGTTCAGGCCCCAAAATAGGCCTGGGTTATAAATACTGTTATTCCCATTTTACATAGACAAGAACAAAACTCTCAGAAGCTTGGATTTAAATCTAGGCGGTCTGACTCCCAAGCCTATCTTCTCTACATTATTCAAGTGTTCTTTTATAGGCTTTGTAAGGATGAGGCTTACATTTTGAAGCAATGGTGCCCAGATTTTTGTACCATCAGGAAAATGAATCATCACTATATTCAAGTTACATAGTCAACATAAGTAATATACTTACCGTGCTGTAATACATTGCAGCTTCTCTAATTTTTTAGGTTACAAATACAAATCTTTTTCTTATATCCCAGAGAATTATCTTGCCCATTTCATTTCAGAGATTACTGGCCTAGAATGCAACTTTCCATCTGTTGATTGATAAATCCTTTGTGCATATTTTGGTCCATCTGAGAGATATTAAGACAGACATACTCTCTTTTTCTTCTCACAGTTTAACCTAATAATGAAGGATTAGTTACTGTCCTCCATTTCTTGAGCCCCTATATCTTTTTATGACAGTATTCCTTATTTTTCAGGTTTTTAGAAAATACATTTTTTAAAAGATTTATTTATTTATTCATATAAGAACTGCGGTACAGGCCAGAAGTGTGGGGGGTGAGAGGATTCACCAGAGACAGAGTGGGGAACAGAACAGGCAGATTGACCAAAGTACACTGCTGAGGGGAGTAGCGAGCGAGACAGGAGAGATCTGCTGCGCCATGTGGGTATCTCCCAGGCCAGGGATCAAACTCATGCTGCAGTGGCTGCGGATAGCTTCATAGTTTGTGTCTTAACCGCTTGCACCACCAGGGAGGCCCATAAAATATGTTTCTTTTACATGGATAAATAACCTGTATCTCTTGAGCAGGCAGGGGGGTGGGGAGATGTTACACATATTGGTGAGATATTCTTAGCCTCTAAGCAAGTATTTCAGAAAGGGTCCCTGAAAGGGGTAAACTAATTCAATAAAGTTTACAATCACGGAGATAAGAAAATTAGCAATTGGCAAGGGCTTGTATCCTCACAAGCTGAACAGCAACTTCAGCACAGTAGTGACTCCCTATTGCTAAGAGTTCCTGAGAAAGAGGCAACATAATTGTTTAAGAAACCTTGAAAATTGAATTCTAAGAATCTACATGAGATTTTTGTCTGTTTTATTTGCTGCTGTGTCTCCAGCACCTACAAAAATGTCTGGCAATAGATGCTTGTTAATATTTGTATAATTTGGGGCCTCCCTGGTGGCGCAGCGGTTGAGCTCTGGTTTGTGAGGCTGCCCGCAGCCTCTGCAGCGCCGGTTCGATCCCCGGATGCTGGGCGAGGGTCCCACATGGTGCACAGACCTCTCCTGCCGCCCACTGCTCCCCTCAGCAGTGTACTTTGTCACTCTGCCTGTTCTGCTCTCTACTCTGGCTCTGGTGAATTCTCTCACCCTCCCACGCTTCTGACTGTACCCAGTGCTTCTATAAATAAATAATAAATCTTTAGAAAAATATTTGTATAATTTATGAGCCATATTAGAAACTTTTGTATTACCAAGCTGAACATTCAGGGCCACCTCTTCAGTTACAGATGGTCTTGGTGCCTTATGAGGTTTTTGGGTGGATGATCTGTTTGCTTTGTAGCCAACCAGGTTGCAGGGACTCTTTTTGAAATGTTGGTACTAAATTCAGGATCATGAACCTCACTTCACACCCTTCCTCCATGGCAGGGATTTGGGGGCTGTGACCAAAATATAGAATACATATAATTGATAGTACTTCCTGTCTACTTTCTTCTACCTTTATAATCATGTTCCAGCCTGGGTTAGGTCACTTACTCAAAAGTCAGTTTCACAAACTGTTGACCAAGATGCCAGCTCTGTCGAGTGCATCCCCATTCTCTGCTGTGTGTGTTCTCTTTTCTGTGTCATCTTCTGTCTGGTTCTGTGGGAGTTGCAGCTCTGGCCACGGTACTAATAAAGCACTGTGTCTTTGGGCCAAATCAAGGTTTCCTTCCTTATGTATAAAGAAGAGGTTGTACATGAAGGCCTCTAGGAACCCAGCAAGCTCTGAATTCAGATCTTATGTCCATTCTCTCCTCTTATTTAATTCTTCTAGCTTAGTGGCCTGTACTTCCTTTTTTTTTTAACTCCTCTTTGTGTCAACTATTATTTAGTACCTCTAAATAGGTACTTTTCAAAAGCTTCCCACTTCCTTTGCCTGCCTTTTTTTTTTTTTTTACCAGACCCATTCCTTAACCACATTTGAATCCTGAAAACTTCCTTAATCCTCAATCCAAATACATCAAAGAAATCTTATTTGTTTATAAATTCCTGCCTGAAAGAGAAATATTCTAACACACTGCTATGGGTATAAAAAGGGACAACTTCAAGTGTTAGATAGCCTGATGAGAGTGCACGGCTAGATACCACTGGATGCAGTCAAAATCAATAAGGATTAGCATGTGTAGTTAAAAAAACAGTATTTGGTTTGTAAGGTGAATCTCACTCAAGAGGAACGGTGTCTGGAAGAAAAATACATTGTTTGTGTATTTCATTGACTTGTGAACTGAGGACATTGCTGCTGGGGCCAGAGACCAACATGAGAGCTACACTCTGCCCTCTGTCGACACAGCGAGCCTGGATCTCTGACCGCTGTCACCTCTGTATGGCCCATCTCCTCATAACATGGAGAGGCAGCTGATCAACCTTCCAGGACTTTTCTCTCAGTTCTAGCAACTTGGGGAACACTGTAACCTCTCCTCAGGTGCCTGTATAAGGGACAAAAAGCAAGTGGAAAGGATGTCTTGTGTACTTCTTTTAGTTTTCCTGTTTCCAGGTCTTTCCTTTTCTATGGAGACATCAAGATCACAGTAGAGAGCATGGGCTTTGGAAGGACTCAGGTTCAAGTCCCAACTTCCATGTATTTACCTTTCAGGAACATTATTTAACTTCTCTGACCCTGTTTCTCCTCTCCAAATCTGGGGTACCGAGTCGGCACACAGAACCTGGTACATACTAGCCATTCAGAAAAGGGTTCTCCTCTTGGACAGCCATCACTGCATTCCACTAGCTTCGTTCTCCTGCTCTAATGACTGTATCATAGAAAGAGTGAGGAAAGGATAGTAGTTTCAAATAAAACATGCAAAGTTAACCATCCCCTCATGGGTCAATGCCCAGCCAAACAGGGCTGGCCCAAAGCAGGGCAACTGAGTCCTAAAAACTCGCCCTAGTCTAAGCCCCTTCTGGCAGGGAGGCTGAGGAAAGGGCAGAAGGGGCCAGGCAAGTCTGGGATGAAGGGAGTAAAAAGAAAGCACAAGATCACAGCTGCCATTCTCAGCCTCCCTCCTTCACGCACCAGGTCTCTTCCGAGTGTGTCTACACATCTCACCCCACATGTCTTCTTCCGTGGCCGAGAGGCAAGCCCACCCTTCTTCCCCACATGTCTCTGCTCCATCAGAACATGTGTTTTCTTTAGATACCAGCCATCATTGTGTGATTCCAGAGGGTCCCTGTTGTCGCCATCATTATCCTGAGAACCTCGATAACAGAGAATCCATGTTCTTAGTTTCTATTTTCAAGCCAAAAGCTTTTAAAATAGTCAAACATTAGAAACTTTACAGAGTAGCACAATGGACAGTCATCAACTTTCACTTAAATTCATTTGTTAATATTTTTCATGTTTGTACACTGGGCTCTCTTTGCCCATGACTGCCCCCTTCCATCCCTCCTGATGATTCTCGTTCCACAGCCCCTTGCAGAGCAGAAACGATTGACGCTTCTCAAGCCCCCTGCATGGTCAAGTCCCTGCCCTTGCTTAGCTTGTCCTTGGTGTTCCCTGACATGTCCCGTTCGGACTCCATGTCACTGTCGTGAGTGAATTTAGCAGGAGGACTGTGCTTTGATGTGCTTACAGAATGCAAATCATTTTGTCAACCCTGCGTTCTGCATTTCAGCTCTCTAACATAACCGGCCTTTGGTGACACCCCTCTTGCAGCCTCAAGTTGCCTTTTACTCTGTTCTGTATGTCCTGTCCTCCCAGTCCCATGCGAGTTTCTCACGGCCCTCTCTTCTTGTGTTCTGAGCGACCTGTGACAGGGTTCTGTAGCCCCGCTGTCAACTTGCCCTCTGCCAGGCTGAGCTCTGGCCCCTACATGACACGGCAGTCTCCTTTGTCAGTGTGGAGCCGTTCTCCCCTTGTCGACATCTGCACAACCTTAGAAAACACAGCCTTTCTGACAGTAGCGTTAGCGCCGTCATCAGTGTCACCTCGGCTGCTGCTCTGCTTCAGATGCTGACCTGGTCTGAACCGGTGCTCAGCTCTTTACTTCTGACAGGTTGGTTCTGTGCTAATGACTAGCCAAACAGTTTCCTGCCTGGTCACCCACTGCACGTCTCTGCTGACTGTTCCCTGTGCATGGAACATTTTATTTGGGTTAGGAATCTTGTGACATCCTATGGGAATCCCAGCTTCTGTGGAGGGCTGTGGAAGTGTCCTTGTCTAGCAGCTGTGAAATGAAGGCCAGACCACCTGCGAGGCTCTAGGGCTTTCACATGCCCTCCCTAGGGACTCTGCATAGGACTCAAATTTGTCTGTAGGGGGTACAGGCTCCATCTTTCTCTTATAAGCAAGACACTGGCATTGTCTTGTTAGGCCCATGCTCAGAAAGCCAGAAAAGGGTTTCCCAAATTGTATTAATTATTCGTGCCCAGCATCCCTGGGGGCAGACCCTTTGCTGCCATGTAGCATCTCCAGTGGGCCAACTTTATGGGAGAGGCAGGATGCAGGGAGGCCCTTGGGCCTTTCCTTACTTCCAATTTGAGAGGCAAGAGGAGACTGCAATTGTTGGTATAAGGAACCTGCTTCTAGTCAGGCACATAGTTCAGATCTTCCTCTAAACAGAAGACAGTATTTTATGATGTTTAAGAGCTCTGGCTCTGGAATAAGACGGGCCTGATTTTGAACCTTGACTGTCACTTCCTAGCCGAGAAATGGGAATAAAATTGCTAGCTGTGTATATCAAAGTTTTATAACTCTCTGTGCCTCAGTTTCCTCAGTGGAGAGTGAAGTTACTAATATCTGAGTATTAAAATATTAATATTAAGATATTAAAGCAGAATGTTAAATTAGCTAATACATGTGGAATACTTAAAACAGAGCCTGGCACGTAGGACATAATCAGTATATTGTCATTGCCGAGGGGTGAGGATTAAATCATCTATTTGAAGTATTCATCACCGTGCCTGGATAACCCCAATTATAATAACTTAAAAAAATTCCCCACACAATTGTAAGGCAGTGGCCTCCTGACTTCTGGCATAATACAGATGGAATGCTTTTCCAGAGAAAGGGCAGGATGGGGCAGAGAAGACCTCTGTTTTTGTGTCTGGGAACTGGGAGACTCCTGGCACCCAGCTGGGAGGGGGGTCCTGCATGAGGGCAGAGGCTGACAGAGACTCTACCTTTTGCTTTCCTGTGTGGACCTGAGTTGGTGCTGATGCCAGTTCCTCCTCTTTGTAGGTTTCACAAGCTGATCTGGGGGAGCTTTGGCAATGGGCTTCTGGAAGGCTCCGGGGTTATTGCAGGCGGCGGGGACAATGGCATGCTTACTGTATACAATGTGACGCACATCCTGTCTTCAGGGAAGGAGCCTGTGATTGCCCAGAGACAGAAGCACACGGGGGCTGTCAGAGCCCTTGACTTTAATCCTTTCCAGGTACTACATTTCATCAGTTGAGCAGGGCCATGCCGGGAGCGTCAGATCTGTGTGCAAGCACTCACTTGCGACCTCTGGTCCATAAGTGTGAGCCTTTTCCAGGCACTTACAGGGGAGGCTTTGGAATCCCCAAATGTGGGTCTTCCCCCTCCCCAGCCCCTTTCCTGTTCTAGCTTTCCCTGGCATGCTTGGTCTCCAAAGGCCTGTTCTTCATACAGGGCAACCTCCTGGCCTCAGGGGCCAGTGATTCTGAAATCTTCATTTGGGATTTGAATAACCTGAGTGTGCCTATGACCCCAGGATCCAAATCACAGGTGAGGAGGCTTCTGGGCTGCTAGTTAAGAACGTGCCACTGATTTCCCCAGCGCAAGTCTTAAATTCTGGAGGCTGACAGAGACAGGCAATCTCAGTCTTTACCACTAGAGGACAGTAAAGCTCCACAGACAAAGGTGCTGCCATTAGCTAATGGGGCCAGGGAAGCTGGCAGGGGTGTGTGAGGGGTGGTTTTTGGTGGTCATTAACTGTCCTGGGGGCTTCTGAAAGGACAATGAAGAAAGGTGAGGAATGTAAAAGACTTTGAGAGGAGCAGAGTACTGTTTATCACACTGTGCTAGCAGGGTGTAGCTACTAGGCTCAGTGGAGAAGGGATAAGAGTGGGACCCCAAGATAAATCCTTGTCCTTTTTGTGGGGAGGGGCTGCCTTGTCTCTGTATGTGGTTCTCCCGTGCAGTTGGGGCCTTGTGTATCTTCTGTTACTTGAGGGTTCCTGTGTGTCAGTTTGTAACTGGGCCCATCTTTTTGCTTTCTGGCTTTTCCCTGTCTTATGCTTACAGTATCGTGAGGTAAGTTAAATAGAATTTGATAGCACCTTGTGTCCAAAAAATAGCAATGAATTTTCTTTCTGCCTCATTCTCCCTGGGGTCAGAGTGTCTATGTTTCCTTCCTTCCCTCATCTCTCTCCCCTCCCTCTGTCACAGACAAGGATTATTTGTAAATTTCGACTCTATGCTCTCAGGAGTCCCTTGGGATGGGTGTAAAACCCAAGAATGCCTGCCATTCCCTCCACTTCCACACCAGTACCATAAAGGATCCTCTCTGGAAATTTTGAACTCCCAGCTCCCTGAGACTGTCTTGGTTTGGGTACCCCATATCTACTCTCAGACTTACTGTGGGTGGTTGGGAGCAGTGGAACAGCAGATGGCTCTTGGTCCAGGGGTGACAGGTTGTCCTGCGCCCCCTCATCCTGCCACAGCAGCCCCCAGAAGACATCAAGGCACTCTCCTGGAACCGGCAAGTGCAACACATTCTGTCTTCTGCTCACCCCAGCGGCAAGGCTGTTGTTTGGGATCTCAGGAAGAATGAACCTATCATCAAAGTCAGTGACCACAGCCGCAGGGTGAGTCTTGGAGGCAGAGTCCAGGCTGGTCTCTGTCATCCTTGCCATTGGTGTGCTCCTCCCCGGGCAGGGTTCTGATTTCAGCTGTAGCACATGTGGGTTCGGCCCCATAGCGAATTTCCTATTGAGCATGAAGCTTGGGGAGATTCAACAGAGTTAATCCGGCAGCCACTGATGTGCCTTACTTCTTTGGGACCATCACTTATTCCCTGATGGCAGTGGGGTTCTCCGTCTTACAGAAGAGACACAAAAGCTGTCCTCAGGGTGGTCCCATTCCAACTGGGCAGAAGTGGTTCATACCCAAACTCTCAGGTTACATCACCCACTGGGGTCTGCTTTGTTTCTAGATGCACTGCTCAGACCTGGCCTGGCACCCGGACATAGCCACCCAGTTGGTGCTGTGCTCAGAAGACGATCTTCTCCCAGTGATTCAGCTGTGGGACTTGCGCTTTGCCTCCTCCCCCTTGAAGGTGCTGGAGAGTCACAGCAGGTAGCATCTCAAACCCTAGCCACATCCCTCTGGAAAGCAGGGAGGTACGGGGCATGGTAGGAGGCAATGAATGCCTGGTTTTGCTGCCAAACATTCTTCCTGGCTTCGAAGCTATTCCGGTGATAGTCACCCAGTCCTAGCATCAACCAAGAGGAAGGTTCTGGAGAAGACTCCAAGACTCCACCCAACTTCCAGAGATGGGAGTGGGCATAGGGTCCTGAGAAGTATTGGAACCAGCATTAAGTTCCCCTGGGAGTGTACCCAGGTTCTGGTCTCAGAATAACGTTCATATCTCTAGATGATGGGTTTGCCTCCTCCAGAACTTCCTAATAAAAGAATCTTGACTCTGGTCTGTCCTTGAACATGCTTCCTCTGAAGCTGTAGCTCTTGGACCCACAGCAGAGAAAGCAGGTTCCATAGTCTGCTCTTCCTCACTAAAGGGCCGTGCTGCCTTGGGGTCTTTGAGAGTCTCTACTCCCAAAGGGACTAGTCTGATTCCTACTGACTCACTGTCCCTGTTCTACTGTCCAGGAGAAGAAGCGGGCTGTCCTGAAGTGACCTCTGGGCGGGGGAGGGCTGCCACGCATGGGCATAGTCTCTGGGCTTGGCCTTGAGTTCTGGCAAAAAAGTTCAGAAAGTTACTTTGTTTTTCAAAGCCTCGTTTTTCTCATTTGTGAAATGAAATCAGCCTGTTCATTTGATAGGGGTGAGATTTTGCCAAGATCTGGACGGCACCCCATTCATTGTAGGTATCCGACAAAGGTTAGTTTTCTTTCCTGTTTAGGGGCATTTTGTCAGTGTCGTGGAGCCAGGCTGATGCTGAACTGCTGCTCAGTTGTGCCAAGGACAACCAGATCTTGTGCTGGAACCTGGGGAGCGGTGAGGTAGTGTGGTTCTTCTGTCGGGGTGCTGGGACGGGAGGAGAGGTGGTGGAGGAACCCCAGCTGCAGCTCTGTGTTCAGGGCTGCCTGGACTGCATGGTTTCTAGTGGCGTGTCCCTCCTGTCAGGTGGTGTATAAGCTGCCCCCACTGAGCAACTGGTGCTTTGATGTGCAGTGGTGCCCTCGGGACCCTCCAGTGTTCTCTGCTGCCTCCTTCGATGGCTGCATCAGTTTGTACTCTGTGATGGGGAGGAGCTGGGAAGTTCAGCAGATGAGACAGGCTGACAAGGTTTGAGGGGGTTGGTGGAGGGAAGGAGCCATTTCTATTTGGGGGAAAGAAAAGGACACGTGACCTGGGAAGAAGTGGGGCTGTTAGAGTCAGGGAGACTGAGGCCCTTGGCTAGGGAGGGCTGCACCTTTGCTCCATCACTCATCTTGCTGGGAGGATGTGCATTCCTACAACAATATGGAGGAAGTCTTCGCTTAATTCTTGTTCTTGCTTGTTTTCTGTGATGTTTTAGGTCACTAGACCTCTATGCTAGGACCATATTTACCTCCATCTCCTGTAGATCTCCTTGTGTCTCACTCTGTTGTAGACTTGCCAGCAGCTACCTAGTGGGAGTCCTACCTTCACTACCAGGCCCACTCCCACCCCCTGGGACATGGGAGTCCAGCATTCATGGCCCACATTGTATATCTCGGGCAATCCTCCAAAAATGGATTTTGTAGGTGGAGTTCCTGGCAAAGATACCACTTCAGGCTGGTGATTCAGGTCTCTTTTTGCCCCCAGATCTCTTCTTCTTTCAGCAAAGACTGGCCTCTCCCACCATTGCAGGTGCCAGAGCAAGTGGCCCAAGCATCACTGGTACCTTCTCTGAAAAAACCCCCCAAATGGATGAGAAGGCCAGCAGGCGTTTCATTTGCTGTAAGTGGGGTGTGTGTGCGTGTGCACGCACGTGTGTGCATGTATGTGTGTGTGTGTGTGTATGTGTGTGAAGCTGTATGTCCAACAAGGCCTATAGGAGATTATCTCCACTGCTGCGTCTCAGATCAGGTCCCACTCTGCCCTAGAGCATAGGGTTCCTCTAACTTCCCTCTCCAGCCCTCACCCTGATTGCTGTGCCAGCCTGCCTGAAGGGAGTTAATTGCATTAGACCTCCCAGTTAGGAAAACAGCCTGAGGTTCCACTGAATTTTCCTTTAGTCCCTACTTGTCTGTACTGGTAGAGAGTCCAGACACGTCAGGGTTAGAACATAAGCAGCAAAGGAAAAGCTGTCAGCATCAGCCTCCGCCGAAAGCCCTCGCACTCCATGCCTTACCCACTGAGGCCCAGTGCCCACAGGCCCCGTGTTCTTTCCACCTTTTATCTCCACCTGATTCTTTTTTGTCCCCTGTGCTCTATTTACATATGATAACTTCCTGTTCCATGATTAACTCAACTCTGCAGCCTCACCTGTACCCACCCTGCCCTTCAGCTTCTCTCCTGGGCCTTTGAATCCAGCTGTGGCCTTTCAAGATCCCTTCTCAGTGCTGCCCACCTTTAGCCCTAGTCAAACTTCACCTCCTTTCTGTAACCTCACAGATTTATACAGCATGAATGATATATTCTAACTGTACTAACATTATTTATATACCTTTGTGGTTTTTTATATACCACTACACGGTCATAGACTGAGGATAGGGACCATGTCTTATTCATTTTTATCTGTAAAGCTGTGCTTCTCCAACTTTCATGTGCATAAAGTCACCTGAGAATCTTATTAAAGTCCAGATTCTGAATTTGGTCTGGAGGAGGGCCCAAGTCTAATTTTCCAAGTTTCCAGGTGCTGGTCTGGCCAGTAGCAAGGCCCTAAAGCACTTAGCACAATGCTTTAAATATAAAATAGGTGTACAAAAGTAGGAGTTCTTGATTTCAGAGTTAACAGTTTTATTGGGGACATAAGATTAGCATCTCAAGAAGCAGTGAGATCGAGAGGTCTGATTTCTCATAGCTCTGACATCTATTAGCTGGATTACCTTGGGTAAGTCGCTTAATTCAGAACTTCAGTGTTCTTATGTATAAAACAGAAATAGTAATACCTGCCTACCTTACCTTAGTGAATTGACATGAATCCCAAATAAGAATATATGTAACCACTTGCACTATACAAGTCAAATGTTCAGATGGGTTTGTTTAGCATTGGTCTGCAGTGTACAACTTGTGCTGTACGAGTCAAGAGAAGAATTCAGACTGGGAAATTTCATCAAGGAGGGGATCGTAGGAAGGGAAATAGTGAATGGCCGGGGAGTAAAGCATTAGTTGTCAGCCATGACTGCAGTCAGAATAAATACCAATGGCCCATCCCACCCCAGATACTCTGATTTTATTGTCTTGGGGTTCAGCTTGGCTCTGGAGGTGGCTTTAATGTGTATGTTGGATGGAGAATCACTGGTGTAGGAACTATAGGAAGAGCCACTTTTGTGCCAGGTGCTTCACAGAGAGACCTAACTTGGCAAGAAGGATACTCAGGTGGGGATGTGGTAGGTTAAGGCACAGAAACAGGAATGAGGGCCTCCCTGGTGGCGCAAGGGGTTAAGCCTGCACTATGAAGCAATCTGCAGCCACTGCAGCACGAGTTCGATCTCGGCTGCCCAGGGAGCAACCCACATGGCGCAGCAGACCTTTCCTGTCTCACCTGCTGCTCCCCTCAGCAGTGTATTTCAGCCTATCTGACTGTTCTGTTCCCCGCTCTGTCTCTGGTGAATCCTCTCACCCCCCCCCACATCTCTGGCCTGTACCCCAGCTCTTGTATGCATAAATAAATAAATCTTAAAAAAAAAAGAAACAGGAATGAGCTTTAGGGATGTGGCGTAATCACATATATGAACGGGGGAGAGCTGCTGGAGGGCAGGTCTGGCCCTGTTTTAAAGGATTTTGTGCAGTTCAAACAGGAATTTAAGCCCTTTGCTGTGGTCTTTTGAAACCATCACCAGCTCTGGAGCAGCAACAGGTATAGGGTAGTAGGCTAAGGCTTGGGCTAGAGAAGGAAAAAACTTGGAGGCTCACAACTGGTCTGGTAATTTAGGCCTGGGGCAAAGGTGAAGAGACATTAAACAAGAAGAGGTGAGACTTTGTTGTTACTTGGCTACAGTGGGCCACTATCCAGGTGTTTCGTGCAGGCGGCTGGGAGGACGGTGGTGGCAGGTGCAGCGTTGTGAGTTGACAATGCTAAGAATGCAGCTGAGAATGCTTTTAGTGTGGAGCACACTCACTACTTACTTCCTGACCTTATTCTACTTCCGGGATTTCTCTTGTCATTAATTTCCTGTTAGAGTCCACAGATAGGTTCTTGTGATCCTGACTTGGTATTAATTTTTGACTTGATGGTATAATGTTTACCCTTCTTACTTTTCCTCACCAGTTTGGGGGGAAGCTGGTTTCATTTGGCATCCCCAGCACCCCTACCCATCAGGCGCCACAGCCTTGCCTCCGCCTAGTCTTTATCAGTCAAGTCACCACGGAATCTGAGTTCCTGATGCGCTCCACTGAGCTGCAGGAGGCCCTGGGGTCAGGAAATCTCCTGAAGTATTGTGAGAACAAGATCCAGCTTGCATCATTGCAAAGTGAAAAGATGCTTTGGCAGTTCCTGAAGGTAGGACTCTTGGAGGCTGGCTGCACCCCAAAGCTGGGAACCCCACCCTTTGTGAACTCCAGGAGATGCACAGCCACACTGTGACCCAGATTACAGAGGCCCTAACCCTGTTAGGTTTTTTCCTACATGACACCCACACAAAATCTGAACGCAAAATCATCACTCTCTACCAGAGGTTCAAAAGCCATTTGCAGCTAGGGAAGCTGAGGAGTGTGCAACATTTGCCCTTGTTGCTACTAGTGCTGATGGCCTGGTACTTCACCAGAGCAAAGGTGAAGGTTTTCCCAGTGCTATGCCAAAGGCCAGTTAAGATGATGGGAAAGGAGAGAAGGGGCAAGAAGGAAAGAACCAGTGGGAAAGGTTCATCATTGTGAGGAGACTTTGTGTTTCTTTCAAGTAACCCAAGACAAATGACTGTGGCGGACTCAGGCCCACATTCCTCTTACTATGCAGGGAGCTTCAGCTCCAGTGCTAGGTTAACTTCAGGTGTTTAGGACACCAGGAAGAGTGCTGTACCTGTCAAAGACAATGAACAAATGAAGGAGATAGCTGAAGGAAAAGAGAAATAACTGCCTGGGCAGGCAGTGAGAGAATTATTCAAAAATTTGGCATTGTAGAGACAAATGCAAAAAGAATGATGTGTCCCAGGGGTTCTGAGAAGAACTTGAGGTCTTTGCTTCAGGCATGGTTGAATTTATAAAGGTAGACACCAGAAATCTGGGGAGAGGAAAAGGCTTTCAGAAGGATCATCAACTGTAGAGTGAAGCTAGACAAAGATGTGGGAAGAAGAGTGATGCTTTCCTTTTAAGCAGGATAACAACAGCTTCGGGAAGGGTAGGGTGGGACAGAGCATAGAGGGCACCATCAGGAGTTCAGCCTTTTCTCTGCTGAACAAACGAGGCAGCAGTGTCCAAAGGACAGAGGCCTTCTGGTTTAAGAGCTGTCCAGCATGATGGTCCTGAAGCTGGGTGTGGGTGAACATTTCCATTTCCCAGGGAGTGGGCTGTAAGAGACTATCAGGAAGACCAGAGTCAGATTTCATGTTCAGTGTGGGGTAAATGGAGGGCCTAGGCCTGCTCACCCAGATTGGGGCAGGCCTTCAGAAGGCTTGGCCCTCCTTAGCTGAGACATTAAGCTGGAGAGCTTTGTTTACCGTGTCCATGCACCTCCCATCAGGAGTCTTCCTCAACTAGACATTTAGACTTACAAGACTACTGCAGGCTCACGTGGCCTTCATCTGGATCTGGGATAGGAACCACAGCTTGTCAGCTGGGCAGCCTCAGGTGGCCCTTTTCTATGGGAGTCCTTATAGCAGGCCATGAGGCCATTCAGAGTTCTCTTCTTCAGCTCCCAGAGAGACAGCTCCGGGGCAAGAGATGAGGTGTATCTCGGGCAGGTGTGTAAGTTGCCCTGGCTTAGAAGCCTCTTGCCCACAAGAGCCAGTATTTCTCCTACCAACTCCACAAGCATAGCGTCTAGTGTTCCTGCAAGGGGCCTACACGGTGCCGAGAGTCCTCGCCATCTGGGAGACCCGGCCCATGCTGTCCAGTTATGCTAGTCCATATAGGTCTGCTCAGGTGCCATTTACCAATCCTAAGTAACGTTGCCTAGAACATTGACTCCTATCTGACATTTTACTCTTATTGGGTATTAGATCTAAGAAGTCAAATGATGGTCCAGTTCTCATGCAGAAGGGGGGAAAGGGTTTGTTAATGCTATGCCCCCAGCCCCACAGGAATCAAGTCGGGAGAGAAAGGGAGAGGCAGGATTGGCCTCAGTCGAGCACCTCTGGTAGCACAAAGAACAGTGTGGCAGGCTGCGCTGGCACAGCTGCCCAGCTTGTGCAGGAGGGGGTCTCTGACTCTCATTTAATGGAGATGCCTGTGTTCTATGGTTCCTTAGGTTTCCTTAGAGCAAGACTCCAGAACAAAGTTCCTGAAACTGCTGGGGTACAGTAAAGATGATCTTCAGAAGAAGGTAAGCTGCTCTCACATCTGACACATGGGCTTGATGCAGAGGTGGTTTCCCGTGGAAACCACCTCAGAATACCTCCTCCCAGACTTTATTAACCATTTATGAGCATTTTACCCCATGGACTTAGGCTTTTTAGGAGTTAGGGGAAAGCTCAAGGATCTTAGAGAGTCCAGTAGGCAGTGTCTGGCCGTGTGGGGAAGCATGACGTCTGTTTACCCTTGTGCTGGGAAGGGTGGTGCTCACGGGCCTTCCCCGCAGGTGGCCACATGGATGAAGAGTGACATGGGGCCTGCTGAGAGCCCTCAGCTCAAGGGAGATGGCCTCCACCGGAACAGACAGCAGGCCTTCAGCAGCCAGGTTGGCCGGAGCCCAGTCGTCTGGACCTAGAGTAACACCCTTCCCTTCCCGGCCCTTTGCTTTGCTCCCAGTAAGTGTCCGGCTTCCGTAGAAGTCTTCAGCCTCCTTACACTTGGAACCAGAGTGAGCCCAGAGTCTGTAAGCTTAGGGGGTGGGAGTGGAGGTGTGTTTCTGCCAGGAACTGGAGTTCTTCCCAAACCTTACCGGTTATTCTTTTAGCTTTACCCATTTATGGCCAAACAGAATTCCCAGAGAGAGCTACTAAGCCAGCTCCCTTTCCCTGGGTTCATTTCCTAAGCAGCCACCACTGTCCTTTGTACAGGCCTCCAAACACACCACAGAGGAAGCCTCTGCCTCCTCAGCCTTCTTTGATGAGCTGGTCCCTCAGAACATGACTCCATGGGAGATCCCCGTCACAGAAGGTACAGGGACTCGCTGTGCTCGGGAGTAGGTGGATTCAGAATTCTCGGACTTGAGGACATTTCCATCTTGTCCCTTGCCTCCTACCTCCTTCCCAGCATCGCAGATGCTGCCTTGTTCTGTTTCCAGTTAGAGCTCTCCCTGGGTTTAGATTTTCATGGCTAGGTTCTTCCTGTGGAAGGCCTTCTACCCCAGTATCTTTTTCTGTCCTTTGTATTCTTGCTTAACGGACTGTGACTCTGTTCCTGCTGAGCAAGCACACTTCACACTTGGGATACTGCCCCCTGAGTCCTGCCTGTGGGTCCTGGTCTTGGAGCCTGTCCTTAGAGGGTTATCGCTGGATGTGGTCACCCCAGGCTACTCATTACATTTTGTTGCTGATGAATGAAGCTCGGGACTGTTTTTTGGGAAGGAAGACTGAGTGATACAGAGCTCAAGGAGGTGTGGGCTCTGCAGGGGATGAGGAGCTGGGGTCCGAGGGCTGGCTGAGGTGGAGGGGTTGTCTCTGCCTGCAGACGTGGACGGACTCCTGAGCCAGGCCCTCCTGCTCGGGCAGCTGGGCCCTGCTGTGGAGCTGTGTCTGAAGGAAGAGCGTTTTGCTGATGCTATCATCCTGGCCCAGGCTGGGGGTGCAGATCTGCTGAAGCGAACACAAGAGCGCTACCTGGCCAAGAAGAAAACCAAAGTCTCCTCGGTAACTGCCTGCCATGCCAGGAAGGAAGCGGGGGATACCTTAGACCTTGGCAGGAAGATACCCACTTATTGGGACTCCCCTTCCACCCTCCTCTAACCATTCTCACCTCACCTCTCGCCCCTCATCAGCGGTCTAACAGGAAGTCTGCTCATGAGTGGCTTTCCTAGCACAGGCGAGGCTCCCACTGGTGTGGCGTGACTGGCTGATGGCCTCCCTCCCTCTCTGCCTGTTACAGCTTCTAGCCTGTGTTGTGCAGAAGAATTGGAAAGACATGGTGTGTGCCTGTAGCTTGCAGAACTGGAAAGAGGCACTGGCCTTGCTACTGACATACTCAGGACCAGACAACTTCCCTAAGCTCTGTGGTAGGTGTCCCTAAGCCTCAGGATGGTGCATTGTGACTCCAGCTGGAGTCTGTGGACACCCCGAGGGTGGAGCAGAGGTGCAGCCCCAGTTCTGGGAAGCCAGGCCGTGGCAGGGACAGCAGTGCATGCCCTTACTTGCAGTGGAGAGCACCTATTGTCTGTCGGACTGTCTCCTTCCACATCCTGGTATAGATCTTTGCCCTTTACCACAGAGCAGGTTTCACCTCCATGTTGTCCAAAGCCACTGCAGCTGCTTGTGCATAGCTCATGGTCCTCTACCTATTCCCAAACAGAAGGAAGAGGATCATAGGAGAGCTGTGCATTAAAGAAGTTTCCATCTCTCTGCAGACATGCTGGGTTCTCGCATGGAGCAGGAGGGTGGCAGTGCACTAACCTCCGAAGCCAGACTCTGTTATGTGTGCTCAGGGAGTGTAGAGCGGCTGGTGGAGTGCTGGGCAAAATGCCACCAGGTTTCATCCCCCGTGGCTCTACAGGTACCCCTTCTCTGCAGGACACTGGTCCCTCCACACCAAGCTCTTAGGAGATGCAGGGATGTGCAGGGACATCCAAGTCAGTTTTCTAGATGCCCAAACTGGAACCAGGGCATTAGGAAGACGAGAAGGACAGTCGGTGTCCAAGAGCTTCTCCCAAGGAAGAGACAACACCTCCTTTCTTCTCAACAGGAGAGACTGGACAGCATCTGCTTAGATATTAACCTTCATAATTTTTTCCCACCTCAGATTGGTTATATATGTTTACTCTATATTTGAGTAATTGTGAGCCTGGCCCTTTTAGCTACTGTGAAAAGTTCTGAGACTCTAAATGGTCCCACACACTGCAGGTGACCAGAGGAGGTGGGGGCCACTGCTCATGGGGAAGCAAAGTCACACATGAAAACGTGTAACAGAGCCTAGACTTGCTGATGAAATTGTTAAGCTACTAGTAGAAAAGGCAAGAAAGAAAAAAAAGACACAGACATATGAGGGTCTAAGATCCAGATGGGCCCAGTTGAGCCCAGTCCTAGCAGCTTGGGAAGTGAGGCCAAGTGGCCCTTCTGTCAGGTTGCTCGTATGTCATCGCCTGCTGCTTCCACCTTGCTCTGGCTAGGTGCCCTCATGCCCATAGTGAGAAATTCCTGGCTAAGCAGCCTGGGCCTAAAGAGCAGGGTGTGCTTTGAAGAGGACTGACTGCCTTCATCCTTGTCCTGCAGGACCTGATGGAGAAGCTGATGGTCCTTAACAGGAGCTTGGGGCTACTGCGGGGTGCTGATGGGGTGAGCCCAGGTCCTGCCACAACCTACAGGATCACTCAGTATGCCAACTTACTGGCAGCCCAGGGCAGCCTTGCTGCTGCCATGAGCTACCTACCCAGTGACTGTGCTCAGGTGAGTGGGCCACATGGAGGGAGCAGATCTTTTCATTCAGTCAGATAACCCTGACCGAGTACTTCCATGTCGCAGGCACTCTGCTCAAGGCTGAAGCTTCAGGATGAATAAGATCTCTTCCCCCAGGAAGCTCACAATCTCTTGGGGGAGGAAATCAAATTTTATGTAATATGTGTGATAACCGTAGTGCCATAACAGAAATTTGTACATAATGCCATCTGGGACTTAGCAAAGGGCTGGTTTTTCCTGGAGAGGTCAAAGAAGCCTTCCCCTTGGTTAAAACACTTGAGCTGAACCGCAAAGACATAGCATACAACAGATGAAGGATATTCTAATCAGAAAGAACAGCAAGGGAGGGAAGCTTGGCAGGCACTAGGGACCTTTGAGTTAGCGAAGGTGGCCAGAGTGTACAGGTCAACCCAAGTTTGAATGCTGTATGGAGCCAGGCTTGTAAGAGGGACTGTTTGCTTATATTAATTTTACTTAACACAGTTCTTCATTATTACAATGTTTACAGCCACCAATTCAGCAGCTGAGAGATCGACTTTTTCATGCCCAGGATTCTGGCATCTTGGGCCAAGAGTCTCCCCCATTCCCATTCCCCCGGGTGGTTGTGGGAGCCACCCCCCACCATAAAGAGACAGCATCTTACAGAATGGGATTCCAACCTTCTCAACAGGTAAGACTGTATTTACTCACTCAAAAATACTTATTGTCTGCTAAGCCTAGTTATGGTTTTAGACACTTGGTATATGTTAGTGAACAAAAAATGTTGAAAATTCCTCACTTCGTAAAGCATAGATTCACTCATTTGTCCAGTAATTGTTTACGGAACAGCTGCTAAGTTCTTAAAACAGGTGTGCAAACCATGCTCCTTGCCCTCGACTAGCTCATAACTACATGAAAAGATAGATTTGTAAAAATCTTAAATACCATGATAAAGTGGTTGTCTTATAAGGTGATCTTATACTGTGGTGAGGGCTAGATAAGGTACCACCAGTGCTTGTATAAATAAATAAATAAATCTTTAAAATAAATAAATAAAATGTTTAAAAAAAAAGAAAGAAAGCATTTACTTGAGGGGGGAGTAGCAGTTCAGGGAATGTTTCAGAAGGAGAATGATTGTTCTGAGTCTTGAAAACTAAAAGCTCTTTAGGGCAAAGGAAAGGGTAGATGAAGTTTATTTCAGGCAGAGGGAGTGGCATGTACAGAGGCAGTGGAGGCGGGTGGAGAAAGCCTACTTGAAGAACTATTAATATTTTAATGGGGCTGCAAAACAGGTATCTGTGGAAGTGAGGTGAGGTTAGAGGAAGCTGGTAGAACAGGTAGAAGTTAGAGAATTCTGTGCATTCTGTGTTCAAGAGCTTAACTTGACCTTAAAGACAGGAGCTATTGAGTGGTCTTATGCAAAGGGAGGAGAACTATGTGTTTAGGAAGGGCAAGGCTGAGGTGGTTAGGAGACAACAGCAGAAGGTGATGAGGACATGAAATGACCTAGAACTGGAGAGTGAGGTTGGATTTGAGATATTTAGTAAACCTAGGTATTTATTTTTCTCTTGAACAAATGGTATGGCACTTTTAATTCTGATTCTCCCTTGTTCATTTTCAGTATGTAGAAATGCAGTTGGTTTTTTTTTTTTTTTTAAAGATTTCTTTACTTATTTATACAAGCACTGGGTACAGTCAGAAGCACAGGAGGGTGAGTGAATTCACCAGAGCCAGAGCAGGGAACAGAACAGGCAGACTAATGAAATACACTGCTGAGGAGAGCAGTGGGCGTGGCAGGAGAGGTCTGTTCCGCCATGTGGGACCCTCTCCGGAGGCCGGGGATCGAACCGGTGCTGCAGAGGCTGCAGGCAGCTTCGCAGCCCAGCGCTCAACCGCTGTGCCACCAGAGGACGCCCTGCAGTTGGTTTTTGTGTGTTGATCTTGTATCCTGTGACTTTCCAATGTTCAGAAACAAGTCTGCTGAACTTTTTTGTGGATTCCTAGGTATTTTGTATATAGTCATTTTGTTTGAAAAGAGACGGTTTTATTTTTCTATATGCCTGTATGTAATCTTTATGCCTTTCTTTTCTTTCCTTTTGTTATCATAATGGCTGAAATAAGAATGGCAAAAGAGAACATCCTTGCCTTGTTTTCAGGCAAGGGAAACATTCAGTCTTTCACTATTAAGTATGATATTAGTGGTAGAGTTTTTGTAGATGTTTTTTATGAGTCTGAGCAAGTTTCCCTCTATTCCTGGTGTACTGAATTGTGAATTTTGTCAGATTTTTTTCCCCTGTATCATTTTACATGATCCATATGATTTTTCTTTTGGCTTGTTGATATGATGGATTATTGATTGATTTTCAAATATATTGAACAAACCTTGCATGATTTGGAATAAATTCTACTTGGTTATGATATATTATTTTTTTGTATACACTGTTAGATTTGCTAAAATTTTGGTGTGTGTGAGTGTTTGTCTAAACTTAGGAGAAAATATGGGTTTGTCATTTTATTTTGTGCTGTCTGTTGTTGGCATAAGGGTGATACTGACCTCAGAAAATGAATTAGGAAATGTTCTCATTCTGTTTTCTGGAAGAAATTGTGTAAACGTTGATCTTTGAATGTTTAGTAAAACTCTCCAGTGAAACTATCTAGGTCTGGAGACTTCTTTTTGAACAGCTAATAGATAAGACTGTCCAGGTTATCTATCTAATGTAGATAACTGTCCAGGTTATCTATTTAATTTTCACTGGTAGTTGTCATTTTTGAAGAATGGGTTCATTTCTTCTAAGCTGTCAAATTTATGAATGTAAAGTTAGTATTTACTTTCCTTTTAATGGCTACTGGGTCTGTTATTCTGTTTCATCCTTGAGTTTGACAACTTGTGTCCTCTCTCTCTGACAATCTTTATAGAAATTTATGAATTTTATTGATGTTTTGTAAGAACTAGCTTTTTGTTCCATTATCTATTGCTTTTCTGTTTTCAATAACTTACCTTCTCCAAGCACTGACCCTTTTATTTCTTCACAGGTGGCAACTCCATCTCCAGGACCAAGGATTTTCACACCTCAGTCGTCACCAGTGATGCCTTTGACAGCTGCCCATTCGAGCCCTTACCTGGGCTGCAGGATGCAGAATATAAGCGATTACAGAGCGCCTGGGCTCCAGGCAGCCCAGCCTTTGTCCCTGGGTCCTGGAGTAAGGCCTGGTGAGTGAGCAAATGGAGATCTGGCCAGGCAGATCACAGAGGAGAACAGTGGCCGTCCAGCATGGCTTTGGGAGGTGTATTGTCTGTCTGGTGAGAGGACTCTGGAATGTGAATCTGAGTTCCCAGTACAACCACTGGGTTTGTACCTGTGAACAATATACTTAGCCACGATTTTGAAAAATGGGAGTACTACTTATGTTGGTCAGTTCAGCCTGTTGGGATTGTTTTGAGGGTCAAATGAGAAATAGAGTTAAAAGTACTTTGTAAATGGTAGATCTCTAAACACCTGTGTTAACCATTTATGATCATCTTTAGTTTTGAGTTCTGTTCTTTCATTGCAGCCCTGTTCCTCACTCAGGTGCTCTGAGTCCCAAATTGACATTTGTTGGCAAATAAACTGTTTCTCTTCTGCTTTAGCTGTATCTCAGCCACAGCAGTTGAGAGGGCAAAAGTCACAAGCTCTTAACCCTGTGGGAGTCCCTGGATTGTGGCCTTTTCCTGGTCCCCTGACACCCACGGCACCCCTAGACATCATGCAGCCTGGCTCTACCTCCCTGTCTGCGATGCCTCAGCTGCTCCCTGTGAGGCCACCGGGTCTCAGCCCTATGAGCTCCCAGCCCCTCGCGGCTCCTGTCAGCTTCCCTGTGGCACACCCTCCGGGAGGACCAGGTGCTCCGTGCTCCGGTGCTCTCCCCGCCATCGGCATCTCGCCTCCTCATCCAGGTCAGTCTTCCTTCTTTGAGTCACTCCCTCTCCTCACCGCCCTGTTACCGCTTTGGGAGTATCGTTCCTTGAGCAGTGAAGTGGGGCCTGTCAGGCTGGAGCATGCGAATTGAGAATGCGGCCAGTCTGCAGAGGGAGATGTGGGGGACACCAACTGAAATAGTGTTCAGTTCTCCAGACTGAAAATTTCCAGTGTTCTTGACCATACCCTAAGTACCTCTACCTTTGTACCAAATAGGACCTCAAGATTCCTTGAAAAATGCCGCAGCTCCCAGGGGAAACCTTCAGAGGAAAAAGGTTAATGCGTATCTCCCCCACCCCGTATCTCACCAGTGACCCACATCTGGTCCCTGGAGAGCTCAGCTGGGTCCTTCCCATCTTCAGCCGTCCGCTCTGGTCTCTCTCCTTCCCCCTCACTCCTCTCCTCTGCCCCCTCCTCTTTCCTTCTTACACACGCTCGCCAGTCTTCCCGCTTCCTGGTGCCCCCTCATCCTTCTCTTTGTTCCTTCATAATTTTGCCATTCCCTCAAACCAGGGCCTCAGGAGCCTGAGGAAGTTAAATGCTTGCGCCTTTTTCTCTCTCTCTAGTTCCCAGAAACATTTGTACCCCCAGCAGCCATTACTGCTCCAGTTATGAACCTCACCCCCGAGCCACGAGGGACCCTTTCCTCACAGCCCCCTGTCCCCGGTGTGGGTCATGCTCCCCCTGGGGCTCCGGGAGAACTCAGCCTGCAGGTAATAGAACAGTCTGTCCCCTTCCTCTTGGGAACTTTGCAGCCCTCCTTGGGTGTGGACAAGCAGGGGGCATGGTAGACAGGCCTCACTCTTCAATACAGAGGCAGGTTCTGAGCTGGAGGAAATGGAGGGTGATTGCAAGTGTCCTCACTGTAGAGACGGGTTAGTGCCCCTCTCCCTGTCTCTGCTCTACGGGGGGCAGAGGACCAGTCCTGGGGACGCCATCTTGCCTGTGTCTCCTGTCTCCCTGCTCTTTCCTTAGCGATGTCAGCAACGACCACCTGAAAAGGTGGAAAAGAAGGAGCTGCCCCCGGAGCATCAGTGTCTGAAGACCAGCTTCGAGGCACTTCTGCAGCGCTGCTCCTTGTGTGCCACGGACTTAGTGAGTCTGAACCTTCCCCACAATGCCCTCCTCACACCTGTAGGTGTTTCCAGAACCCCTTGTGTGACATTTCTTGCGCTGCCCTTTGTCATGCTAGCTGTATCTTATAGTTATTTGATGTCTGTGTGGAGTGGGGGGATCTTGTCTGGTCTGAAGTCCAATTCCCTGGTAGAAGGACCCAAAAGCATCAAGAGTTGACTTTTGGAAAGGCAGCAGGGAGTACTGGGAGGGAGGGTGAAACAGGAGGAAGGAAGCCTGCCGTTCCTCCACCGACTGTCAGCGTCATCACGTCATTGACCCTCTTTGGGCCTCCCCTTCTCTGTGAAACAAAAGAAGCAGCATCAAGGCCTTCTAGCTCTAGTATTCTGTGATTCTTTATATCCTGTGTAGTGTGGGGCTAAGGGGCTGGAGTCAGAATTGTTTCTCTCTCTGCAGAAGACAAAACGGAAGCTAGATGAGGCAGCCCAACGTCTAGAATGTTTATACGAGAAACTTTGCGAAGGGACAGTGAGTACATTAGCAGTGCCTCCTCCACCTCCTGCCTCTCCACCCTCACCCATGGCCAAAGGGGACCCATGTCTCCTCCCATCAGCTCCCCACAAAATACACATATCTCATCTGAACTGGGCTCCAGAACTTAAGTCCTCTCTTAGCCATCCCTGCTGCCAGGGGAGGGGCTGGGCGCTCACTAACCTACGATCACTTCCTCCACAGCTCTCGCCTCCTGTCCTGGCTGGGCTCCACGAGGTGGCCCGCTGTGTGAACGCGGGGAGCTTTGAGCAGGGCCTGGCGGTGCACACCCAGGTGGTGGGGTGCAGCAGCTTCAGCGAGGTCTCCGGCTTCATGCCTGTCCTGAAGGCTGTCCTCACCATTGCTCTGAAGCTGCACATCTAACCTAAGCAGCATCTGATGGAAGCCACTTCTGCTGTTACCCAACAACTCCCTGCAGAAAAGGGGAATTTTGGAACAGATTCAGTTTGTTTTCCCGACCCCCTTCCCTTGCTGTCAGATATGTGATGCTCTAGGCGTGGCTCCAAACCTGCTGAGTGCCTGCTTCGTGCCCCTTGTGCCTGGCCTTCTAGGACCTGCCCAGGGCTCTGTCCACCCTGGAAGCAGTGTTTAGAGCCAGCTCCTCACTTGCCTCCTGCCACACTCCCAGAGGCCTGGGACAGAGTGTCTTCTCCTCCAGGGCATTGTGGTTAAATGGCTCCTGAGGAGGTGAGCAGGGTTGTTACTTCTCAGTCTACCTCTGCTGTACCCATCTGTGGGTCTTTTGTTTTTCCCCTTCTGTGGATGAGGAGCCTGACCTGGCCTTCCCCTTGCATCTGACTTCATATTTTCAGGTACTTATTTCTCTGAACCCTGGAGCCTGGGGTAGAATTGACTGTTGCTCACTCTTGGAAGAAGTCATGGACTTGAAAGATGGGTTCTGAGCAGAACCAAGAGAAGAAAGTTTGGTCCTTTTGAAAACCTGCCAGCATTATCCAGGGTGGGCTAGGTTAGTTGGAAGGTGGGGGGTATGTACTGCCATTTGCTGGGGGCTGTCTTGGGCTATGAGAAAGGAGCAGAGGAGCCAATGCCCAGGGGGAATAACCCTGGCCCAAGGCCCTAGATTATTCATTCTGTGATAATAAGTCCAGTTCTGGAAAGGGGCCATGTTAGCAAAATATTCTTCTAGCACTGATCCTATAAGGTTGGAGGCCCTTCTCCCCTCTCAGCCCCCACGTGTCTCAGGGCTGCCTTCTCTGGCTGTACTTTCACGGTTGGATTCTGCATTTGATGCACTGATGTGTTTAATGTGCAATAAAGTTGTGTTGATTTGGTTTCCTCAGTCATCTCCCAATTATTTCCTTTGGGTCCTATTTTGATAACCTCTCTTCCTTGTCCTCTTTGTTCTTGCTCCCTGCACCCCCATAAGGCAGGGGGAGAAATTTGGGGGCAGATGGGGAGTCAAGTGAGTCGAAGAAATGAGGGAGTCAGTGAAATTCGCTGCAAGATTCTCTTGCTGTGTGTGTGTGTGTGTGTGTGTGTGTCCGTCCGTCCCTCCCTGCATCACATTCAGCTCCAGGGTTTCCCCCACACCACTTCAGGGTTGAGCTCAGCTGCACAAAGGGGCTGGGTGTGAAGCCAGGGGGTACTACCTCTAATCCTGTTGTAGATCCCATCGTGTCTGCAGGCTAGATGTGTGTGTTTGGGAGGAAGGGATTGTTAGGCAGTATTTGTTTGTAAAGCCACTTGCTCTTCAGATAATACTTGCACTAACTTCTATTGATGAAGCAGTGTGAGCCCCAGCAAAGTCCTTTCCCAAAGTGTCTTTGAAGCCAAGAGCCCATTGAAGGGAAGAAAGGCCGGGAGAGAGGATTAGTTTGTTCAGCAGCTGTGAATTTCAGTGGGAGGTTGATGAACTCCGAAGCCTTTGTTTAATTTAAAGGGGGGGAGAAAAAAGCCGCTGCTGGAGCGAGAGCCCCACTTGGGGCCCTGAACTAACACAAGGAGAAGTCTGAGCTGCAGGGAGCTGTGTACTGACTGTGAAGACTTTTCCCAAACACTTTCGGAAAAGGTGTTGTGAGAAGAGAAGGGGGCGGAGTGGGGGATTAGCATGTGAAATGAAGTTTTCATTGACTCCAGTGGGGGTAGAAGGCTATTTTAATGGCATTTTGTTCTCTTATTTTCTCTTCTTGAGCTCTTTAGAGATATTGTTTTGCTAAGGCAGACTTTCTTTCCCCTTCTTTCCAGTCTGCAGATCGCCTCTATGGGAGCCAACATAAATATTTCTCCTTCAGGAATGCGGGTTAATTAAAAGGAAATGAATGAGTGGAAGCATCCAATCCAGACCCACAATAGGCGAGTGCCCTGGCCTGCCCTCCCCTCCCACCAGCACCAGCACCACCAGCGCTGAGCACGACCCTGTCTATATCTCTGCCCCAACCTGCTGCTAAGGCCAGTTGAGGCTGGGATTCTTTTCAAGAAGAGAACGCCCTGCCTGTGTGCAGGCTCATGGGCCAGGGACAGGAAGGAGACAGTGTTTTGCTCACCCCCACCGGTGTCCTTGTCACTTCTCAGGACCTCCCTCTGCTTCTGTCTTTAGGTGGAGACAGATGGGCCCCTAAAGAGCACACAAGAGGAGGGGTGGCGCCTGGGTCCCAGTCCTCACCCCACGGTGACTTACTAGTTAGTTGGTGGGACAAGCCAGCCATCTTTCTCAGCATCAGTTTAAATCTGTAAAAAAGAGGGGTTTGACTAGCTGACCTCCAAGATGTCTTCCCAAGCAGCTGTTTTCAAGTTGCCCATATTTGTAAAGCAGGGCACAGCCCTGGTGAGGAGTGTCAGGGAGAATCTAAACTCTGTGAGTGAGGCTATCAGTGTGGTGTTCGCTCCGGTTCCACTGCAGTGTTTGTGGAATGCACAAATGAATGAGTGGATGATACAAGAGGTAGCGGGGAAAAAAGGTAGGATATCAGATCTAAGGTAGCTCAGTAATTTTTCTTTATAGAAATCAAGTGAATCTGGTATCAATCACATCCATTGGAAATACAAAAACATAATCTATGAATCTTTCTGGCAGCACGACATGTTCCAAGAACTGATTGGGCGTTACCGGATAGGGAGCAGGATAGTTTTACCACTTTTATGCTGAGAGACTTGGAGAATGCACCTTACTTCCAACACTGTACTTTATGTTTTCCAGCTGCTTGCCAAGTCAGCTTACTGTCCGCCGGGCTAGTATCTGCTGCTGCTCCATTAAGGCAGGAGGGCCAGGCAGGAGATTCACGAGGCCCAGAGCAAAGCTGAGGGTCTTTTGCTGATAGCGCTGGAAACAAAGCCCTAGTAGACCATCAAAGGAAGTGTTGAAAGATCCTGAAAGGAAGGGGAACCTCTCTCCTCAATGCTAGGAGGACCAGAAGATGTGTAGGGGGGAGGCCAGGGGCTTGGGGTCTGACGTGGCCACAGTATCAGTTTGTGACATGGAGTCCTGCCACTCTCACAGGTCAGCTTTATACCGAAAGCGTGTTGTTATTTACATAGTCACATTTCCTCTGTGCTCTTCCTCCTCTGGAGAAGTGGGGGAGGTGGTCCAGCGTCTGACCACTTCTCCAGAAGGACTGCTTAGCACCAGGTCCAGTTGCTGGCTGGGCAAAATTGTGGGCAGCAGAGGATCTGTCAGGAATTGACTGTCCCCTTCCCAGAGCCCCCTTCCACCAGTAAGTCCCTGCCCACTGCTGCTCCATGAGAAGAGAATCAGGAGACCCAAGCACTGCAAGCAACAAACTCTTAATTATTGAGTGAACGTATTAGTGGGAGATTTACGTGGCTGATTTACTAATCCTTGGCAGCTTAGCCTCAGTCAGGTCAAGATAATTACTTAGGCCACTGGGGAAGTGAGGCTTTAGGGAAGCAAGAAGGCTTAGAGGTAATATCTTCTACCTGCCCTCCACTTTGTCCCCAAACATAAGTTCAATAATTGGGGTGAGGCGGGGGGAGAGGGCATATCATGGTGTCTGCAATAAATTAAGGCTCAAGGTGCTGAACTTCCTGTTAGCAAGTTTTATTGCAGGAAGTTACTGAAAAGTCCTGTTTGATACTCTGTTTGATACTCCCAGGTTTGAGAATCAGGTTAGTAAAAAAAAAAAAAAAAAAAAAAGGGTCCTACCTTCTCCTTCCTTATGACCTGCCTATTGAGGTGCAAATCAGGATCTGAATGAGAAATTGGCTTTATTTAGCCAACTTATTTATTTAGTCTTGGCTCAGATAAACAAGGGATCCTTTGGGGAAGGAGAAAAGGTGAAGTTGGTAGGAGAAAATTGGTTAGGAGCAGGGAGGAATTTAACAGGTAGGCAGTGACAGGTCATCAGTGCTGACATTGTTCCCAGATATTGTAGTTAAGTGTCTGAAGCCCCTTGGGTGATGGCAGAAAGGTCATTGTCCCAATGGTAAGTCATTTGAGACATGGCATTACAAGGACAAGGAACACCCTTGGTTTTCAGCAAGTCAGAGCTCCAGGGTTACCACTTCCTCCATCTTCAACCCCCTGCCTCTAGGACCCGGCCCCCAAAGACAGGCTGCCAACACTGAACAGGGAATCAGAAGCACCGGAGGGGTGCTGCAGAAGAAAGATGGGGCCATGGCAGAAACCTGATAGCCAAAGTGGGGACAGAAGGAAGAAAATGGGTAAAGGAGACCAGCCATGGTTACACCAGGAGTCTGCATCTCTCAGAAGGTTCCGCCAGTTCCTAAGTCTTGACAGACTAGGTCAGGCGGTGGGGCAGCTTGGAAGGGCAAAAAGGAATGTCTATTCTCATCCTAATCCAAAGAAGACCAATAGTCGAAAAATCTCAGAACAGTTCTCAAACCTATTAGTGGGCCGCAAGGATGGCTCAGACAAAACTCCAAACAGTGCAGAGGAATTGAGGGAAGAAGATGGAAAGCGGCGAGCTCACAGAGAGCTCTCGGGACCCCTGGGCTTCAGAGTGCGAAGGCCCTATAACCTCAGGTTCCTCAGTACTGGGGTCGCTAAGAGAAGCCGAGGACAAACGCGGCAAGGAGGGGAGAGAGGCGACCCCTAGGGCTTCCTCCCGGGCCTGTGCGCCGCGCCACCCCGCGGCCGCTCCGCGCGGCTGCAGAAGTACTTGGTGACCCGCCGGCGGCACTGCTCGCAGCGGACGGCGCAGCACCAGTGGAACTTGCAGTTGCAGCTGGACACGGTCTCCGCGCGGCGCTCCTCCACCGCCAGCCCGCAGTCCCCGCAGAGCCGGCGGCAGCTGCGGCGCTCCCAGCGCCCCAGGGCCCTCCCGCGCCGCAGACACTCCCGGCCCTCGGTGCCCAGCAGCCCTAGCGTTTTGTTCTCCAGGCAGTAGTCGGGCGAGTCCTCCAGGTGCACCAGCTCCCGCGTGGAGATGGAGCGGAAGGTGTCGGCGATGGCGCCGCGGCCCGCCGCGCTGTTGCCGGCACCCTGCAGCAGGTCCACCTTGAGCGCCGCGTGGTACTTCTCCTTCAGGTGCGCGCCCACCTCGCGGAACTCGGGCAGCTGCAGCCAGCAGGTCTGCGTCGTGCAGCTGCCAGACACGCCGTGACACTTACACGTGCGTTTCATGGTGCCCTTCACCGCCTGGAGAGAGAGCGGAGTGAGCCCTGGGGAGACGGCCTCTGGGCGCTTGCGAGGCCTCTAATCTACCTGCGCAGCTCACCTGCCACTGCTGTTGAACGTACCGAGGAGCCGCCCTCACCTCAGATGGGGTGTAGCTGGAAGCAGCTGCCTAACTCCTAGGGCTGAAGGACTCACCTTGCGACCAGCCTCGTTGTTGTGCAGGTTCATGGCTGCCCGGGCATCTTGTCCGGTCTCTAGGGCATCCACGAACTGCTTGGATATTGCCTCCCCGAAGCCCACGTTGTCGCTGCAGCCTCCCCACAGCCAGCCTTGGCCCCCTGGAGAAGTGCATGGGGAGAAAAGGTTGTTGATCAGGCGGCAGGGAACTTCCTGCACTGCTGTTTCTAATTAGGTTCGGGGGATTCGGGATGTGGAAAGATTAAGGTTTGGGCGAGTGCCTTGTCTCCAGATTAGTTTCAGCCTAGATTTTTTTTTTTTTTTTTTTGCCACCTTTGCGCGCCCACGTCTTGCCCCCGCCAATCTCCTGCTCAGAAATCCATGACGTAAGTAGTTGCCTAGTGGATTCCTTGCCCGGGGCCGGCGTGCTCCTCCGAGCACAGGGTTCGGGTAGAGCGTGCACGTGCTGAATAAGCAGGTTGACATCCGGACAAAATAAGCCGAAAGGGCGAGGAAAGCCCAAGCATTTAGGGGAGAGTGAGGCACCACTGAAAGAATACGGGACAGCCAAGTTGGAAGTCGAGTTGGAGGGCTCAGGGCATCAGAGATGCGAGAGAAGGTCGAGCCCAGGGAGAGGGGCAGGTAAGGACTTCCCCCGTGTCTGAGGGAGTGACAGTGTTGTTCCTTTATTATTTTAATTAAGGAAATCGCTCAGTGGAAGTTGAGTTCCAGGCTATATGAGCCCAATTTGTCACTATAGGGGTTGGGCTGCAACTGGTTGACCCTCAGATTTTGAGGAACACAATTCCTCATTCTGCTAAGCTTTTCATTCTGTAGGTGAACTTTATTGGCCTGTCCTACCCACCCCCAAAACCGCTACTCACCCAGTTGCCCGTTGCGGGAGTCATCACAGCCACAGTTGTCAAAATCCCCAAGGCTGCAATTTCTTGTCAGGGTGTACATGACCCCAGCAGAGCTGATGGCATGTACAAATGCTGTCTCCCGATTAGCTGGCAGGAACCAAAAATAGGAAGAGTTGGAGGGAAGGGCTGTAGCTCAAACAAATACCTTCCTTGAATACCATCGGTGTACCTCCTTTCCCGGCTGCACCCTATTTCCCCATCTTTATAACGTACCTTCCCCACTTTCAGGATCTGCTCCAGCCCTGGTCTCAGCCCCACTTCTCACCCCTCCCATCTTTACAGGGCACACATTTTATGACTAAATAGGCAGCTGGGTTATCATTGATGCACATGGTTGTAAAGGATTTAGGTGGGGAGGGGAGAAGGTGAATCTGAGGGCCAGGTTATAAAGAACCCATCCCCACTTCCTCCTGAACACTACTGGTCTAAGAGGCCAGTGCTAGTCAGTCCTGGAGAGAACCTGTGATGATCAGCTCTTTCATTCACTGGCTTGGCCACTCTATCTTCTCCATGAGCATCTGTTCACCCAGTCAGTTCCCACTTGTCCAGTACCTGTCTACGTAGTGTGCTGAAGGAAGAGGCTAAGAGGCAGGGAGAATTATGACTACCACCTACCTCCTGAAGTGACTTGTTGTATGAGGAAGACTTTAGCTAACTGGGATGCCAAGGATGGTTTTGAAATGGGAGTGAGGCAAAGGTGTTGAGGATGAAAGAAAGAAGCTGTATGCACAAGAAGGAACAGAGCAGATCCCAGAGGGAAAGATGGCCTGAGAGTAGAGACCAGATAGGGCATCAGGGTGCAGAGGAAACAGGGGACCATCCCTGGAGAGTGGGGCTCTAACCTGTGGCCAGGGGGTCCAGGGAGCTGTGGCCGAGGCTTTCCTTACCACTGCGAAGGCCACCGTGGCTGGACAACTGCAGGGCTCTCTCAGGGCAGTTCCAGCGGTCCCAGGCAAACTGGTATTTGCATTCTTCAATACCGCTTTGGGCACCAGCTGCCACGCTGCTGGAATAGATCAGGTAAGCCTGTGGGGACACAGGGGTCAAAGTTCAGACTCACAGCAGCTGGACTTGGGAGGTTTTGCCTTAAAGAGACCAAGCACCTCTCTCCTGCCCGCTCTCCTATCCCTCCAAAATAATGACAAAGTAAGCACTTTAGAAATGCTATCTTATTTAACATTAAAAATAGTCTTGTGTATCAGGGAGTCAGAGACTCACTTTATAGATTAGAAACTTAAGGCTCATGAAGTTGAAATAAAGCAGTTTTCCCAAGGTCCCATAGCTAGCAAATGGTAGAAACTAGGAATGAAACACAATTTTATCAGATGCTAGGCCCCATTAGCCTTTATTCACTGTACTAGTCTGCTGCTTTAAAAGGATCCCCACTTACATATTTCATGAATTTTCAAGCTGTTCTTATTCCATTATAATCTTAGAAAATAACATTTTGGAGCTGTAAATATCTTTATATGTCAGTCAGCACAATTCCAGCATTTTCAAAATGAAAAGTGCATCTTGTGCCTACATCTAGTGAATGCATTCCAACCCTGGGGAAGTCTCCTGATTTTTCTGACTCTGTAAATTCTGTCCATAAACTCAGAATCAGTACTCCTGAGTTCTTGCCCTTGCTGACACTAGCTCTCCATGTGGTGCTGGGTGTGTCACTAGCCTTATCTGTGTGAGGGTTTTTCTGTCTGTAATATAAACAGCATAAAAAAATGGCAAATGAAAATGAAAAATAATTCGGCCTGCTTAGTCTTCATTCAAGAAACTAAGACTAGTGAAATCCAAATAAGTCAAAGGAATTTTTCCTTACCTTTGGACCAGTCATCAGGAAATTGTTCACAGACCTAGAAGAAAAGTTATAGTGTGTGTAACAGAAGAAGACCAGAGCATTTCTATTGGCAAGAATTGTAAGAGTTAGTTCGGCAAATATAATTGATAGGAGGAAAGGGAAAATGGTTTTGCCAAAGAAAAACTATGCATAAGGAATCTATTCATGATAATTTATTTTGTAAAAATATGTCCTCAGGAGCTAGCATGATGATTTCTTTGGAAAGTTAAACTTTGAAATACCATAAGCGGTGGGTGTTTGGGCATTATTTTGCCATGGGGTAGGAGGAAAACTAGCATTAACTGACTATACCAAATGCTCTACTCTCATATTTTACATGTTGATCTTGTTGAGTCCTTACTGTCTCAGGCATTACTCCCCCTATTTTTCAAATAGGGAATCAGAGACTCTTAAAAAGTTAAATATATTGTTCAAGCTCACCCAGCTAATAAGTGATTGAAGCAGGATATGAATCCAGGTCCATCTGATTCCATGGGACTCTGGAAAGAATAGTTTTCTAATCAGAAAGAGGTAAACAGTGGAATTTCTCTCTAGGAATTGAGTCATGATTGAATTCCAAGAATAATCTGATTCTGGGAGAAGTTTAGGTGCACCTTTCGAAACTGAGCATGGACTTGCCATATCACTTGGCAGTTCCATGCTAGGTCATTTTTTCCTAGAAAAAAACTTATTTTTATTTATGAACTTGCACTTGAATGATCAAAGTAACCTTATTCACTATAGTAAAAAATTGGAATCTACCCAAATATCCTTTAAAGATTGAGTGATTAAAACAAAACCCGTGGTATATCCATTCCATGGAACACCACTCAGCAGTGAAAAAGTGAATCACTGATACATGCATCAGGGTGAAGCTCAGGGAAGTTACACTGAATTCCCAAAGCAAATCTCAAAAAGATACATACTGCATGATTTCATTTACATAAAAGTTATGAAATACAAAATTATAGAGCTGGAGAATGGATAATTGGTTGCCAGAAGTTAGGGATGGGGGGTAAGTGTGTCTGTACCAGAATCTCATGGTGATGGTAGAGTTAAGTAGTTTGACTGTGGTGGTGCTTAGACAAAACTCTACATGTGGCAAAATTGCACCAAACTATATGAAAATGCGCGTGCACACACACAAACACGTATATGTACCACACTGAGTGAGCTATCGGTATTATAAAACAGCTGTAAGATGTTAACACTGGCATAGACTTGGGAAAGTGTACCTAGGTCTTTCCTGCACACTTCTTTGCAACCTTCTGAAAATCTATGATTATATAAAAATAGTAAACACACACATGTGTATGTACATACATAATCTTGACTGCCAGTAATTTGGCAAATGAACTTTAGTATAGGCATTTGAAAATTAGTCCAAATATTACCTGTTATTTTTTGTTCTCCATTATAATGGCAGAAAGTAACATGGGAATCAGGTGGGGTTCCTGAAAGCTGGTGACCCCTGCAGTTCTAAAGGCCATGAAGATGCTAGGCATCACCAGAAAGCAGACAGAAATGAAATCAACTGAGGAAGTTCAGTCCCCTGTTAGAGGCTGGAAGAGCTTGACTCTCTTCATACAAAATATGCGCAACGCCCAAAATGTGGGTAGCTTTTGAAAAACAGCGTTAACAAACTGGGAGGCTGCCAATTTGTTATGAGAAGGTGAAAAAGTTTCTAAAAAAAAATACAATGGAATTTTAAAAAAATCATAAGGTTACAGAGTCCAGCAAAACTAAGACTGACTTTTTAAAGCTTGGCAGGCAAAGTTCAGTCGACAAAAACAAGCATCAATCTCTCGGAGGAGCAGGACCAGTAAAGACAACTTCAACCCCTTAGTGAATTCACAGTTGCCAAAGCCACTATGAGTTTGGGGATAAATTTCTGCTCCTTAAAGACACGTTAGAGAAGTCAGGTCATTTGCCTCAGAGAAAGGAGTCTCAACTTTCTCTGGCTGAGAGCACAGCCTTTATGTTAGGAATAACTTTCAAAGACTTTTGGATATTACCAGGCCAGACAGGCTAGTCCATTCCATGAGAGACAGTATCTGGAAAGTACACAAAGTAACCGAAGAAAAATAATGTAGCTGAGAGGAAGTTTTGCCGTGAGCCTGGGTGAAGATACTTTCTGTGAGAGGATATGTAGTTGGACTCACAGGGAGTAATGAGCAAAGATACTAGAAAGCTTCCTGGGAGACCCTACAATATGCAAAGAGATGTATGACATTCGGGGTTAGCCAAAATGATTAATCAACCAGATTTAACTGAACATCTCCTATACAATAAGACAGTGAACCTTATTCAGACATTGCCATAAACTGACTTGTGTTGTAAATCCTCAAGTTATTTGTAGCCATAGTTGAACTGTTCTGGCTGGTTTACTCATACCCAAACCATTCAGTATTAAGAAGAGACTTGTTATAGATGTTCACTAGATTTATGGTAATGATCACTTCACAATATATCTATGGAGTCATTATGTTGTACACCTGAAACTAATCTCTATGTCAATTATCACTCACATAAAAAATAAAAAGACTGTGTTCTTGTGGTGAGCCCCCAAAGAGAAGGATCTTGATTTTCATTAGTGACACCATGGCAAGGTGTCTTTTTTTTGGGGGGGAGTAAAATATAATATGGATAACAATCAACATGAGCATGTGATGTGAGGTGATAGCCAAATAGCAAGGAATTTAAGTGTTTGGTACCACCAGGAATAGTTATGATGGAAGGGATGACCCTCACCAACAGTTTAGCAGATAGAGGCAGCTCTATAGGACACAGTACAATTAACATACTCCTGGGAGGAGGAACAAGCCTCCCTTCCCCGGTGCATACAGTTTCAGATGATATAACCCAGACTGGGTGTCATTCAAAGGACTTAAGCCTTCTTGGATTTTCTCAACTATTCTCAGACCTTTTCCTGAACTCCAGACTTACATATCCAAATACAATCTTGACATTTCCATTTCAATATTTAGTAGACAAACTTAACAGGTCCAAAACTAAAGTCCTGCCTCTTCACCGCCACCACCCAAACCTGCTTCTTCAGTCTTCCCCAGTTAAGTAAAAGACAGTTCCTCCTTCTAGTGGTCAGACAAAAAGCTTGGAATCTTCTTTGATTCCTTTCTCTCACATCCTGTTTAGTCTGTCTTCAAATCCTGCCAGCTCCCGCTCAAACTATACCCAGACTCTAGCCAGTTCTCAACACCTCACCCCGGTCTATGCTGTGATCATTTCTTGCCTGGATTATTGTCAGTGCCTACTAACCAATATCCTTGCTTCCATCTTTATTTTCCTACATTCCATTCTCAAAATAATTGGTCTCTTCAAAGATTAATTCCTTTAAAATATAAATCAAGTTTTGCCACTCTAAGCTCAAAATCCTGTACTATCTCCCATAGCATAAAAGTTAATTCTTGTCATGGTTTATAAGATCCTACATAAAGCTGCTGCATCCTATACTACTTTCCCCTGGATTACTCTGATTCAGTTACTCTGGTCTCCTTGTTCTTCCAACACACCAGGCACTCTCCCCTTCTGGGCCATTGCACTTGCTGTCCTCTGCCTGGAATACTTTGTTTTCTCAGCTGTCAGCTAACTTGTTCCTTCACCTGCACCTCTTGCCCTTTAAAACAAATGTGTTCTTCTCCCAGAGGCTTTTCTTGATGATTTTATTTTAAATTGCAGCTCCCCATCCCCTTTCTTGCTTCATTTTCCTCCATGGCACTTTTCATCATCTGAACAGTAGATTTGATGTTTGTTTGCTCTTTGCTTCTTTATGGTAGTGTTTCTTGTCTGTTTTATTCACTAAGTATTCCTAGTACTTTGAGCAATCACTAAGGATAGTAGGCATCTAATAAACAATTGTTAAATCAAGGGAACTCATACTTAGGGGTGGGAGCAGGAAGATGTTATCATCCGAGGAAACTGAGAAGGAACAACTATCTAGAGAGAAGATGGATTAGAGAGGATTCCCTCACGCATGCTCATGGTCTTAACCACCATGCTTATGTCATTATTGGGAGACATTATAATGTCTCCCAAGCCTTTACCTCCAACTCTGACTTCCATGCTGAGGCTCAGAGCTGCCTTTCCAAATGAATACTAGATTTCTCTACTGGGATTGTTTCAGATTGTAAAGAGAGTATTTCAAAAACCAACTCATCTTCCTTGCCAAACTAACCACTTCTGACTACCATTCTTTTGTTAATGGAATCACCATTCACCCAAGTTTCTCCTAATTCATTGTCAGTTATTAAGACTCATCTGCATTTCAACCCTATTGTACTTTTCACACATCCATTCCCTCTTTTCTATCTCATGCCACAGCCTCAGTTGTAGACCTAATACCACTGTAGAAGTGCCGCTAATTGACCTCTCTGCTTGTAGTTTTTACCCCATTCCAATTCAGTGCACAGTCTGCTGCTAGGCCAATTGTCTAAAAGTCTGATTCTTATGTCATTCTGCTCAAGAATCTCTTGTACTTCCCCAACTCTTGCAGCTCAAGACCCTCAGTAATATGATCCCACATATCTTTCCTGCCTGTTGCTCATGAAATAACCCTTCTTGTCCAATCTTCTAGTTAATCTGAACCACTCGTGATTCCTGGACATCCATGCATTCATACCTCTGTGCCTGTGCTCATGCTATTCTGTTAAATCTTACCCATTACTAGTATTTTCAACCTATGGTGCTGGAACAACTGGCTTTTCATGTGCAAATGAATGAAGTTGGACCTGTACCTCACACCATCTGTAAAAGTCAACTCAAAATGAATCATAGACTAGCTGTAAAAGCTAAAACTATAAAACTCTTAGAAGAAAATATAATAGAAGTTTTCATGACCTGGGATCAAACAATGATTATTTTAGTTATGACACCAAAACACAAGTGACCAAAGAAAACATTAACACATTGGATATCATCAAAATTAAAAACTGACTCGTGCTCACTTCAGCAGCACATATACTAACTAAAAAATAAAAAACTGACTCAAAAGGCAA